CAAATCATCTTCGCGTCCAGTTATCTAGAATTTATAGTAATTTGAACAACCCCGTTATGTTATGTATCTTTATTGCCTCCTAATATTGGAGAGTACATACTTTTAATATATTACAATGATAACTAGACTTGGGAAATTGAACGAAGTTCAATTTCAGACTCCAGATCCAGACTTTTTTAAGCCCAGTCATCTAAAATAAGCCGAGTCATCCATAATAAGCTGAGTCATCCAGAATAAGATGGATGGATAAAACAGGAAGGTAGGATAGGATAGAATGGGAAGGAACGATAGGATAGAATAAGAAAGAAGGATAGGATAGAACAGAATAAGAAGAAAGGATATGATAGGAGAGGATAGGAAGGATAGGAAGGAAAGGATACGAAAGAAGGATAGGATAGGATAGGATCAGATAGGAAGGATGGATGAATTTTTCAATATTTTCTTCTCTACTCTTGACTTTCTATCAGGATACCATCAGATCGATTTTCCGAAATTTCAAAACGCCATAACTTCCGAACCGGAAGTCGGATCTAAATTTGATTTAATCATTCGGATTCCTGACAAAATTCTACCCCTAATTCATAACTCATACATTAAATTTGGCGAATTTTTATTTTGACCTACTTTTTGGACACCCCATAACTTCGGAACCGGAAGTCGGATCGAAATTTGGTTTGCAGATTCGGATTTCTGAGAAAATTCTATTATTAATTCATAACTCAAATGTTAAATTTGTAGAACTTTTTATTTTGACCTACTTTTCGGACACCATATCTCAAAAGTAGGTCAAAATACTTTCTGACGGCAAAAGGCTAACGCTATTAGCACACTCTTGGCTACATGTATACACAATTTCGAAGAATATAATTAAAGTGTAGTGTCAGAATCGCAAAAATAAGAAAAAACTTTGAATTTGACCTAGATTTTGACCTAGGCATTTTGGTGTCCAAATTTTAAAGCTAGATGGCTTTTGAGGTCTCATTCTTTTAAAAGCTTTCATTATATTTAGCTGAACTTAGTCTATATTTCGTATTTTTCACTTCAAAAAAATCTTTTTTCCTATTGACTTAACATGGGCTCAAAATTTAGCAATTTTTGAGCTTTCAAAACGCCATAACTTCAGAACCGGAAGTCTGATCTAAATTTCGTTTTCAGATTCGGAATCCTGAGAAAATTTCCTATAAGACTAATATCCTGGACATTTGATTCGGAGAAATTTTTTTTGGACCTCGTTTTCGGACACTGATATCTCGAAATCGGTTTGAGATATCAAAAAACTAAATCGACTCTAGGTTTCTTACTTTTTTATAAGGAACACAATGAAAAAAACCCGGATCAAAAATATTGAAGGACAACCGAGAAAATCGAAAAAAGTGACAAAGTACTGGATTTGACCTAGTTCTTGACATTTGACCTAGATAAAAATTTGACCCAATTTCCCACCAACTAGATACTGAACCTAAATGAACTGTATTATGGTCTTTACTGGATACCCCATAGTTACTGAAAAAACTCCCGAAGAAGAATAATAAGAATAAGAATAAGAATACTGGCAAAAACAATAGACTCCAGATTTTCAATCTGGAGTCTAATAAATAACAAAAATAAAACATATTATACACTATATACAAAGGTGTTTGAATAAAATAGTGTGATCAGATCATATCAGTCAGCTTATTGAGGTGCTACCGCTGCCCCAACATTACGCCTGATTTAGTTCTAATAGTGCCATATGACAAAAGTTATGTTCATTCTACCAGTATTTACAATCATTGGGTTTATTTTCAGAGTATCATCCTATCGTTACTAGTGTACATTGCATAAATCGTCTTTGATATCGTTACATAGCTATCTATCTTTAATAGATTATCTTTCCCAAAGATGATTGCTAATTTGATCTCATTTGAGCAGTTTTCGGGGATACTTTTTGCGTTTAACTCTTTTTGGATTATATCTCTCATATGTGAATGTGCGTCACAATTAAGAATTATATGTTCTAGTGTTTCAGTCTCAGACTTGCATGCGTTGCACAAACTTCTACTGTGCTTGTCATATGACGTTCCCCAATTAGATGTGTTTGCATTCAAATTTCCCTCTCCCGTGAGGAGTAGTATCATTGTTTTGCATATCTTGACTAGTTGACAATTATGAGATGCGATTTCCCACCATAGGTTGGGCTTTTGAAATTCCACAACACTCTTGTATAAATGAATGTTTGTGTACATCATACATTTTAGTCTCCAACTCCAGAGTGCTTTGTCGTACATTATCTAATGTTCCCTTTCCATACTGTTTTGGATGGTATGATTCCAGTGTCTATGATCGATAGGGAACTTATTAATAACTGGATGACATCTTTAAAAAAGGCGAGACGTTTACAATTTCCAGGCGATTGTCAATGGTACGTTAAGACATACACGATGACGCAATTTCTTGGTATGGATACTGATTTGTAATTATTATGATGTCCCAGCAATCATTCATTTCATAACAGTGTTATGAATAATTATCAGTTTCATCAAAAAACAGTTTCATTCAAATCGTTCATAAAAGGCAGTCCCTGTTTCTCGAAAATATCCCCTGGAACTCATTACTACTAATTTGTTTATAAATCGTCATAATATTATGGCATGGCTTGCGTTTATCTTTGTTGTTTTTAAAATGTTATACACCGATTCTGATTTTATTGTTAGTTATGAACTCTATGTCGGCAACTTAGTCAATCTGCAGTCACGTAAGCTCGACGGAAAATTGCTATTTATATTTCATTCTTATATTTTACTAAAATATCGCTTTAACAAAACACGCAAAAGTAAATAATACAACACGGACTTTTCCCAGGGCAGTGACTCTCAACCAATAACCTCCTCTTGTTGTCTCTATTAAACCTATAGCCAAGCCTTACATATAGCAAATGCAAATGAAAGGGCCAATCAATATATTCGCTACTTTTTGCTTTATTTTCTTTTATATATGTCCATATTAATTGTTTGACACAGACATGCAGTGCCGAGATTCGCATCTTTTGATACCATTTTCAAGCCCAAAACCATAAACGGAAAAAATTATGGATGTCATAGAAACGGGAGGAATGAACCATCTGAACTGGCCATAATTTTACCGTAATTACACATACAACAATATTTTCATATGTCCATTTCTCCTAACAAAAACATTCATAAATGGTATCTAAAGAAACGACATTCAACACTGCATGTCTGTGCCAAACTTGATTGGAAATGAACATATATAAAAGAAAATAAAGCAAAAAGTAGCGAATATATTGCTCACCCCTTGTACATACAGTAAGTCCATTGCCATATAGAAACTGAAAAAATCATTTTTTCCAGAGTTAAAACTGGTGGTTAACGAGCCAAAACACTTGTTCAGACAAATTCAATGGAAGCATAAGCAAATATCCTGTCTTGGCTTTCGAATGAAACAATGAACTATCTTTTTTTGGCGTAGTCAATTTGTTCCCAATTTGCGCTTTATTATTTTGCAGTTTTGTGTTTCTGCTTCAAAAAAGGTCATTAGTATATAGTTCGGCTGACTTAGTTGACATCGTTGAATAGACTGCATACTGGTAGATGAAAGTTGGTGTAAAACCCGATATTGCACCAATCAAATGGTTATTCAAAACAAGAAATTGAATGGGAGATTATTCAATCATCATACTTAAGAGCCACTGGAGATGAGCCAGCTGAAGAGCCTGAGGAGCCGAGCAATGAGCTAAAGAGCCATAGGAGCTGAGCCAGCTAAAGAACATTGGAGAACTGAGAAGATTACAAAAGAGCCACAAAGAGCAAAGAATGCTCTCTGAAGGAATTGCTAAGCATGGGGCACTCCAACAAACCAAAGTAAACTGACATTTTATTCTATGGACATTTAAAGTTGTTATTTTCTTATAGTGATAGTGTGTCACGGGGACGTTTCTTTATTAAATTACGAAGTTTCGTATTAGATATAATATCAAACTTAACAGTGAAGACACGACACGTTTATGGAATTTATGGGTAAAATCAGAATTGTCAAACAATGTAATCAAAATCAGCATTGTCAAAATCTAAAACAGTTTTGTTATTTAAGATTTTCCAAGTAGGCCAGCAACTGAGCCCATTTTAAAATGTAGAGCAAGGTCTTGGGCTTATTTTGAGCTTGGGTTTAAAACCAGTTATTATTTTCATACTGACTCAAACATAAAGACATCTCAAATAGCTTAAATTGATCAATGGTACATTAAATTATGCATTAAAATCTGTTTCAGTGTTTGAAAATCATAATTTATGGAGAAATAGTTGATAAACCCCTTAAAATGCCCCCTATTTTAAAGGGGGTACTTAAGTTAACATCCGTAACTTTTGTGTTATCCAGGGTTTCTTCATATTTGAGATTAACCAACTTTGTATGACCCTGACCTCTATATGACGAACAAAGTTATTGATACTCAAATGTGCATACAGTATGTTATTTTATCCCATATACATGTAAGTCATCATGTTTAATGCACTGGGTTAATACATAATTATAATGTATTTTATGAAATACTAATTATCTTAATTGGTTCATTTGAATCACAAGTGCACCTTTTCATTTGTGAATCTTCTACTTATTCAGTCTACCCATTCCGAATTGACACGTGGACTGGTACTGACTGGTTTTTTGAAATGTTGAAATCATTTATATATAGATATAACGAACCAAATTAACATGCTCGGTTCGTGGGAGACTAAAGTATCCGTCGCTGGCAAGTGAAATCGGTTTAAAAAGTTTTCATTTCATTTGGACCCTGAGGCTTTTTTATTATTCTATCGACAGAGATGTATTTGTTGTCTATAGAAAGTTGTCTGTACAGTAGGAAGTATCAATTCCCTTGAGCATGTGCTATACAGTATTTTCGTGCGAACTTGCTGTGAAACATAATCTCAATTTCTGTAGGACAAGGTCACAATTTTTCATGAAATGGTATGATTTATTCCGTATTAATGTAAACAAAACTACTAATACGGAACGATATAAACGATACCGTGAAAGTATATAGTCGTCGAAAGTGTTCCGATTAAACATTCCATACTACCCTGCGTGCAGAGTCTAGTTAAACCTGAGACTAACAGGTTAAACTACTGAAGACGAAGCTCTCTTTTAAGAAGTGAAGTCAAACGAATGCAAAGGGTAATTCCATACCACACTGAAACAAACAGCAGGATAAAGGCAAGAGATTAAATAAGGTAAGAGTTAAGTCAGTAAAATGCCTCAGTCTGAAATTATTCTTTATGTTTAAAGATCTATTCGAGAGTTGGTGTAATGGTGTCGATTGGTGACATGTTATGAAGCTAAGAAAGTAGATGGTTAAGACACATTCGAACATGACTGTATTCACGCCTTCTATAAACTGTAAACAAAGGTCAATGCTTCAGCTGGGTTATATTCGAGATCAATAACCCAGTTAATACGTGTAATGTGTGACGTCATAACGGTGGGTCGTAGTAATGGCGGAGCATGATGAATATTCAAAACAATTTGGTGAGTTTTCATGTTCGAATCGTAATATAGACCTCAGAGCAGGGTTACTACTTTCGAATAACACCCCGCTGGTCTCGGCACAAAAGCTTTCGAACCCCTCACTCCCGTCGGTCGTTCGGGGTACAGAAAACGTTTGTGCCGAGCGGGGTGTTATTGGAAACTAGTAACCCTGCTCTTTGGTCTATATTTCTTAAATGCAGCTTCAAAAATCATTAAATTCTTACTCTAACAGATTTGCTTTCAACATTTCTAATTTTTATTGCAGCATTCGTTTGGCCCAAAAATTTGAAAAGTCGAAGTTCTTTACACAGTTTTCATATAATTCAACATTTCTGCTTCTCGAACATTTATATTTTGATAAGCTGAATTATTATTTCAGATAAATGTATTCAGAATTGTAGAACCATATTGGCATGCTATTATATTATCGGAAAGATTTGCATCGAACAGTTAACTCCGTGTCCCTACCAAGTTTTCACTTTATTCTAATATGGATACTTTTGCAAGAGGAGAAGCCTAGATACTATACTGTGTATTTAGAATGTGCATGCGAACTGTTTAATGATTATTCTAGTCTACTTTTACTGCAGGTTACTTTAACCTTGAATAATTTTCTTTATCAGAATGGCATAATTGAAACTCAGACGAGCTACAGTGTAAGTATACTATCTGCTCAGTGAGAGCTATAACTGAACAAAATAATTTAGGATACATACATGTATATGAAATAAAACAACTCTTTTGGATTTTTAGATGGAGTTTATTGTATCAAACGACCCAAATGTCGAACCGATCAAGGAGCCATTGACTGAAAGCTACATCAATGTGACTTCTAAAACCCCACTGAACACGAAGACATTCAACCAACTGCTACTAGACTGTAAAGAAGATGACAGTGAAGCCTTTATTTTCATGGACGCGCTTGGAAATAGAAAAGACGCGCTTACGTTCAAAGATTGGGTCGACTCAGCGGAGAACCTTGCGGTGGGAATCGAAGAGCTTGGGCTGACATCTGGGGATTACGTAGGAGTCTTATCGCCTAACTGTAGAGAGTTAGTATGCAGTGTTGCGGCCATGGCATTCCTTGGAGTCATCCCCATTTTCTTAAACTTCGATCTTGTGAGTGGCAAAGATCTGGTAGCCAAAATAAAAGAATGTAACATCAAGGCAATCATTGCTGTCATTGCAAGTCATGAATTCAAAAAGAAAGACATTTTAAATGAAATATTTGGAGAAATCACCAAAGGGGACGTTGATCCTCGTATGCCTACTTTACGAACACTAATACTATCAGAGGACGATAATTCCACAAATGAGGACTCGAATGAAGTACTACATGGTTCCATAAACCTTAAGTTACTGATGAGGCAGAGATCTGATGAAGAGAGGAAAAGGGTGGTAGAGTTAGCAAATAAAGTCAAACTTACTGACCCACTGTGGGTATTACTGACAACAGGAAGTACAGGGGATCTAAATACTGTCTGAGTAGCCACAAGGCCTCAATGTATGGAGCAAGTATTATGATACCGAGGTACCAGGTTGAACAAGGAGACAGATATTTCAACGACCGTCCGATGTCATGGGTTGGTGGAGCATTATTCATGGGCGCATGCGCAGCTGGACATTTTACACTTGTAACAATTGACACGCGTCACTTAACGTGCCAAGCAAACCCTGCCACTGTCTTAAAAATCCTGCAAGAAGAAAGGGTAGCCTTTGCCCTACTATTACCATATATCTTATACGATCTATTAAAGCTGGATGATTCAGCTATCTCGAGTGACCTAAGTGCCCTAAAAGTTGTACTAACTACTGGTCAGAGGCTTGACATTAACATGATTGAAAAGTTTAAGGCCAAGACATCTGCAAACGTCACTATGGGTTACGGTATTACAGAAGTTAATGGTGCAGTGTCCGTTATTTTCCCTTATGGAGACTTCTACAAACAGCACACCACTGTGGGCTACCCATCAGAACACAGTGAAGTATCCATTCAAAACTACATGGACAAATCACTGAATAGAATTATGCCAATTAATACAAGCGGGGAGATTTGTATCCGAGGTCCTGGTATCATGACGTGTTATCTGAACAACCCAGTTGCAACCAAGGAGGCAATTGATGAAGATGGTTGGTACCACACTGGTGATGTAGGCACCATGACACCATATGGTTACATCACAATTACTGGCCGTCTGTCGCATTTTATCAAGCGGGGTACTGTCATTATTCAACCAGCGAAGATAGAAGCGGAGCTAATGAAGCATCCTAAGATACACAATGTACAGGTGAGTGACAATTTTCAATATCATTATGTTTATTTCAGATAAAAATGAGGTTAAGCTACGCACTTTTTTAAGTTTTTTAAGATGACGTGTACGTTTCGTGTATAAGTATGGTCATCTGGAAATGAGTTCTTCATTTGTAGCATTCACTTGACGTTGAGTGTTAAGGTATAACTGCTGCAATTTGGTTACTGGTAAAAACCAGTCGAGACGAGGACCTTAATCCATGGGCCAAAATATTACAAGTTCACGTACAAGTTCCGTTGAAAACGTACCTTTGCCTCCCTCGGCAATAATGAAATATGGATAATGCTGTCTTTCTACCAGAAATGTCTGAAGTGAATATAGGTGCTACTCTAATGCCTGCATAGCAATGATGTACTAGTGGGGCAGTCTGTACCCAAATTGCACAACCTTGCGAGACTGAATCCTAGTTATAATATGTACATGTAGTGTGCTTTAGTGTTAGTATACGAGGTTTGATGATAACGTTATCACAATATCTCTGATTTATTTATTTTTAATCTTATTAATCTAGTAGAAATAATCACAGCAAGTTATCGAAAAATAAAGAAATTAGAGAGATATTATGAAAGCTTTATAATTAACCCTCGTATAATGACAACATCTCTCAATTGGGCCATACCCATATATGTAGATGTACTAATGTGTTCTGTAGGTGATAGGTGTGTCGGACCCAAGACTGTTTGAAGAGTTATGCGCATGCCTCATCCCCGAGAAAGATTGTAATCTCACAGAGGAAGAGATCAGACAATGGTGCGATTCTGTATTCAGCGACGACAACCTGGACGGACTCAGTAGTGCACCGAAGTACTTCATCTTCCTTGAGAAATGTCCAGTTAAACCGAACGGTAAAACAGACACTTTGGCTTTAAAGGAGTTGGCGAAGGAAAAATTCGGATTGGATTAGCTTAAAACAGGACTAAATGAAACGAAAATATATGTGGAGTCTTAACACTTTCTAAAGAAGCATTTTGATACAGTTAAAACACAAAATCTACTCAACTCAATTCTACATGTTAGACACACAACCAAACGTAAAATGTAGAACAGTTCAGTTGCTATAGTAGCATTATAAAAGCCACCAAGGAATGTCGCGAAAGTCGCTAGTTTGTGGCGACCTTCACTATTAACTACTATTTATTACATGTAGGTTGCGTTGTTCCTTTGTCGTATAACAGTTGCTAGATTTAAAGCTACAAAAGTTCGGAATATACATTTTAAGTGCATGTTAACGAAAAAACTGTTAATGACTTTCGGAAATATGTCTAAAATAATCAGCGTCTTCGTTCATCATCAGTCTTCAATAATACGTCCATCTTATTTGCAGTTCGTTCAGCTCGAACAATAGGGAGTTTGAGCAATGCATATAAAATTGAAACGTCAACCTGTACGCACAAGTTGCCCTATAAAAATGCATGTAGTTCATCATGCATAAATAATCATTCTGTTACAGTGTTTACTTAGTCCGTTGCATAGACTACACATCATCGTGTAATATGCCATTGATAGTTATATAGCTGGTTTTTCTATGATAAATATTTTAAACAAGCTCGTTTCGTAAGATATGTAGAGCTAAAACATGTATGGCATACAGTGTACATCATTTTCTTCAAAACGCATTATACCATGCATCGAAATCAAAATTTCCAGCATAGTATTCAATAGACATGAGTATAATGATTCCCATTGACATCAACGCGAAATTGCAAATCTCCCGCTCTAAGCCTATCGGGTATTTGAAGTAGACGAAGTACACCCTATGCTTAGTGAGCGGACCTAATTTCAAGGGTGATGGTAAAGACGAGGCAGGGCGCCCAAACCTAACTATGGCGGACCAGCAGTAAGTTTATTTCTCTAAGTTCTACTCTTTATTGGCCTTGTGCTGGCCTGTAACTAGGTGCACTGATGCTTCAGATGCCCATAATTAGATTTGTAATGTAAGAAAGATTCATACTTATATGTGAAACGGATACGAAGTGATGTGAAAAGAAAAATTAATTTTCTGCATATTTATTTTCGATTATTTTCAAAATAATGATACTTCTCCTGCACAGAATTCATTGATATTGCATGTAATTATTGTTGATGAATGTATTTTTATCGTAAACCCATCCATTTCCCAATTTGAGCCGTAATTGCAGTCAAATCAGGAGATTTTGATTCCTCGAAAGGAAGAGCAATGGTTATGGTAATAAAAGCATGTTTGGACGAGCCGTGGAATAGGGATTACATTTATCCTGTTTATTTTCAGATATGTGGGATTCCAGTGTTACTACTGTCACGGAAAATCAAAAGACTTTGATGAAATAATACACCACCTGATCAATAAACAATTTACACAATGTGTTAACAGTGATTTTGTTGTCTCAGAAAAAATTAATCTGACAAAAGTTTATCCCACAGTGCAGAAACTTGTGACTACATCTGCCATGTTAACAACCTCTGACTACATCTGCCATGTTAACAACCTCTAACTACATCTGCCATGTTAAAAACCTCTGACTACATCTGTCATGGTAACAACCTCTGACTACATCTGTCATGGTAACAACCTCTGACTACATCTGTTATGTTAACAACCTCTAACTACATCTGCCATGTTAACAACCTCTAACTACATCTGCCATGTTAAAAACATCTGACTACATCTGTCATGGTAACAACCTCTGACTACATCTGTCATGGTAACAACCTCTAACTACATCTGTCATGGTAACAACCTCTAACTACATCTGCCATGTTAACAACCTCTAACTACATCTGCCATGTTAAAAACCTCTGACTACATCTGTCATATTAACAACCTCTGACTACATCTGTCATGTTAACAATCTCTGACTCTATCTGCCATGTTAACAGCCTCTGACTACACTTGTCATGTAAATAAAGTCTGACTTCATTTATTAAGTTAACAATTTCTGAATACACCTGCCATGTTAACAACCTTGACATCAACAATCTCTGACTACATCTGTCATGCGTCTGATTTTTTATGACTTTGTCAACATTTGTTAAAAAGTGTGGGCCAGTTACCATTTATACAATTTTAAAATTCTTTTAAGTTATTCTATTTATTCGTTCAACAACCAACACTTTTTGATAAATCATAAAATTAAGTGACTACATGTTTTGCAAGTTTTTACCATTGATTGAAGCCTATGACAACCTTGCCCAAATTCATTAATTTATTAATTGACAGTGTACATTTAAGCTGAATTTAGCAGTACACGTAGCAGCTAAGTGCTTGCTCATAGCCACTCCTCTTCGCAAATTACATCGCCATTGCTCGTCATCGAAATTCTGATCGCCGAATAGTAAACATTCATTTTGTATTAGATGTACATAACTAGAGACCGCCTTATTTCGCATATATGAAAAAATAAAACATATCTAGGTACATATACCTTTATATGTGACATCGATCAGGAATTATTGACATATTGACAATATTAGGTTGTAATTTCTTGCGGTTAATTCAAATTGTATCTTTTAAACGACTGTTTCATCTTAACTATTCGTTTTATTGGATGTAAAACAAACGGTATGCATAGTTTAAAATCGTTCACTTCTAAAACAGCATAAATTATCACAATATCATCACCTTATGCTGCAATAATACGACTTAAAAGATTATGGTACTAATATTCTTTGGTTTTTGGGCGCCATGCCTCGTCTTTACCATCACCCTTGAAATTAGGTCCGCTCACTAAGCATAGGGTGAAGTACTTAGCGCTTGTTTTGTATGCGCGCTATACTACTGTATTCATGTGGTGACAAATTACAAGCAACATGTACAATTGACCTACCAATCTGTTCCTTACAATCTCAAATACAATATCTCCCAAAAGATCTTCATAAATTGGTGAAGTAATAATGGCCTTCAAGGTGCAAAAATGGGTGAAAATGTTTAAATTCTCCAAAATAATAAGGATGGTAACCATTTTCCGCATTATTTTTAGACTAAATATTGTATGAGCAATTTTGAGAAACATTGGAATAGGGGGAGGATGTGCTAGAAGGGCATAAATGTTCACCCGAGAACTTTTACCCCAAGACAATACACTTTTGAGATGCTGTTTGGTATGAATCAATAAAAAAATGTGATTTTTTTTCAATTTTTTGGGGGGTGTCAAAGAGGATGAGAGGGTGAGGTGAGATGGGAGTGCCAGAGGGGGAGCAGGGAGTTGTCCCCCAGAAACATTGACCATATCAAGGTACTATTTGATGATCTGGGCCCTATAAAAATGTCTGAGACAATACATGAACTTCGTAATTTTTCAATTGTTTTGTTGGGGATGTGAAGGATGGCCAACTCTCCTAGAAAATTTTACAATTTTAAGATGATATTTGATGCATTTTGGGCACTTTTAAAGTGTTTGAGTCAATTTATTTTTGAGTGGGGGGGGGGGTGTCAAAAAGGGGTGCTAGACTAGGGGGAGGTGGGCGGGGATGCCAGAGGAGTAGCAAGTGTTTGTCATCCATATCTGTCCCCCGGAAACATTGACCATATCAAGGTGCTATTTGATGAAGCCTGGCCACTTTAAAATTGTCTGACGCAATACATGAAATAAATGAAATAAAATCAGAATCTTTGTTAATTGTTTTGTCAGAGATGAGGGCCGGGGTGGCCTATTCCCTAGAAAATAATTACAATTTTAAGATGCCGCTATTTGGTGCTTTCTGGGCACTTCCAATGTGTATGAGTGAATGAAAAAAATCACATTTTTCACATTTTTGGGGGTGTCAAGGGGGGGGGGGGGGTGCCAGGGGGGGGGATGCCAGAGGGCGAGCAAGTGTTAGTCCCCAAGAAACATTGACTATATCAAGGAGCTATTTGATGATGTTTTGGCACTTCAAAGTGACTGGTCCAGACAATACATAAAATAAATTCAGAACTTTTCGATCCACTCATTTTAAGTGATGCACCTGGTTAGTATCATCAGGCATGGAAAAAAACAGCTTCACAGCAATAACCGACTTTAGAGCGCTCCATTCTGATTTCACTTCAGTTTCGTTAATTCCTATTTATTTTGACTGAGAAACCAATTTCCTGACAGAAACCTTCTAAGATTTTATATTTTATTGTTTTTATAATGACAATACAACCCTCCATTTTGCCTGACAGGTCATTTTACCTAGTGAGCAAAACTGGCGGGCAGAATTAAGAGCTATTAAGAGTATCAAGTTACGTTATAGTTTGCATTGAATTTCCTGGATACAGTAGCCTACACTGAATTTCATAATGTGAATTTGACTGCCAAAGAAAGTTACTTTTTGTTTTATTTCATAACTTAGAGTAAATCTATGTAGAATTGTTTAATCAAGCACATGTATATATCTTGAAATAGAGTTGAATTATATATAGTTACACATTAATTATACATTTTATATAATTTCCCATTACATTCTCTCTTGTGTTGGATGATTAGCCTATGTGGATGTGTAGAAAAACCCTCATTTCCTTATATTCTACAATCTATTATCGAACTAGACCATTAAAAATCCAAATACTTGATAGCGGGGTAACCCAGGACCACGCTACCCAACACCCTGGGTTGCCACATTGTAAAGTCACTTTTATTTTTTGTCAATATAAAGACTCAAGGCAACACACAACCTTTAAACTCTTCAAAATACAAACCGATGAAATTTATATCTGGCGTGTCATGACCCTATTATCCAGAAATTTATTTCCGAAATTGATTTGGTGAAATTCACATACATTTTGCAGTAATAACAGCCTCGTCGTTACATATTATGCCAGGTTTGTGTGAAAAAAACTTAAATCTATATAATTACTAAAAAGTGTAGCTAATCTGTCTTGTGATCGTTCAAATATCGTGTATAGACGGATGCTGAAAATTTTAGAAATAAATGTCGACATAAGAGATGGGGTAACTTCGACACTGACTTACTTACTAGAAGTAGAATTTTTAGATTTCTGGACAGGGAGGGGGAAATTTCCCAAAGATCACCTTTCATATTGGTGCATTTTATAAACAGGTCATTTGCCATTGAAATGGATCTCTCAATGTTTACTTGTGTTTTATGAGTATTCTCTGAAAGTTTGGATCAAGTAACTTCAGTAGTATTACCATGGTTTTGAAATGATGATGCTGAACTGATATTAAACTGAAATAAACACCATTTCAACAATTTCAAAATTTACTATGCAAATGTGTGGCACTGAGAAAGCACGTGCTAATGATTGTTCACATGATCACATCCTGCAATTTGATTGGAGATCGTATAATGGGGAATTCCCGAATACGATAGAATATGAAAGAATTATGGGAGCTAGATCTACTCACTTCTGATTAATGGAAAAATTCAAATGTCGTGAGATCTCGATCCGTGTGAGAAAAAAACATGGCCTTCCCCTTGAGTGAAAATAAGAGCAAATAAACAGCAAAGGTGTCAAAGTTACCCAACATGTCGAAGTTACCTTAAAATGGTGTTGACATTACATTACATTACTCTGTTAATTCCCCTTTTGGTTCAGTCTAGCGCAAAATCAAGGAATGATTGGTCACATAGGCCCAGGAACATGTTTAAAAAAGATCAAGTCGAAAACACCCAAGTATTAAAAGACTTGATCTGTTTTATATATGTTCCCAGGCTTATGGTCACTATCTCTACCTCTGTTCATAAAATTGACAATACCACACTGCCCCCAGGATTCCGTGTTTGCAGAGCGCGGACGGAATTTGCCTCTGCCCGCGGAATTGCAGAATCAACTATTTTTGGTCAATTTCCGCGGAATTTTCCGCAGAATCCATATATTTTCCAAAAGTTTAAAAAGTCAGTCTTACCTGTAACAATTTGACACGTTTTCAGTCAAATCCCTTGCAGAAATAACCCAAATTATGCGAAGTGAAAATTCTAAACGCCATCGTTTGATTTCTGCCGTTAGATGGCAGCATGTATGTAGTGACTGACTACCTGACTATCACGATATTTTCCCGTTTACTGGTTCGAAAACCATTAGTTTTTCTTTCGGTTCTCGTCAGAAAGTTAAACAAAGACATAAATTAATAACAGTTATTTATATTATATAAAAAAATGCCGCGAATATCCGCGGAATTTCTGCAGAATTAGCCCTTTCTTCTTGCAGAATTCACTAATTTCACTTGCAGAATTGAGCATTTTAACTTGCAGAAAACTGGGGGGAGTGATACCAGATATTTCATGTGTAAAATGGTGTCCTTTTGGTTATGAAGAGATAATCCATTGGACCTGGTGAATCAAAATTGACTAGTTGTTCAGATTTAATTGAAATAGTAGCAAAATTTTGATTTTCATTTCTAAAGCCACTGAGAAACGCCAACAGAAATGGTGACAAACTGTATTATTAGTCTCCACCTTTTTGTGGATGATGTTTTGCAGTTGGTAAATGAATACATGTATTATGAAATGTTGTATATTAAATTTTTAATCAAATTGTCCATTGCACGTTGGTTTGTGAGCAAGGTGAAATATGCAATGTTGTTATTTACAGATGTTAAGTGTCGTTAGCTGAACTACCGTGAAATCCCATTTGAATATCATAGTCATGTCAAGCCCACTGACACTGCTACAGTCAGGCAGTACTGGTACAGGAAGGTCATCCCCATGGAGTGTGATTGTCACGGAAAAATCAAAATACGATCAAATATTTGAAACACTTCAACCAGTGAATGGATTGGTATCGGGCGATAAAGTTAAACCCGTTCTAGTGAACTCAAAACTACCAGTTGACGTCTTGGGCCGCGTATGGGACCTTAGCGATATTGATAAGGATGGGTTCTTAGATAAAGATGAGTTTGCCGTTGCTATGCATTTAGTGTATAGAGCACTAGAGCCTCATAATGAACCCGTTCCTCTCGCTCTAGCCCCTCATACGATCCCACCCTCAAAGGTGAAACCACATGGGGTAGCCCTCCCTGGTGCAGTTCCTGTTTTGCCAAGCATGGTACATATACATTACTCATTTACATATAATAATATATTGGAAACGTTTTATTGAATATTTCAATATTTAGCCTCAAATCACATTACAAATTGAATGTAATGGTTAACTTGTCCCGTTGTTGTGTATACTCTGAATTTGTGACCCTTTCTTTGTATGTCAAAAAATTTAAATTATTGTCCCATATTTTGAAGATTAGGTACTTCTTTTAATTTGGATAAAACCATATGCTATATTCATATGAAACCAGTAAAATGCTGAAAATAAGGTAATTTCCCACTTTCAGAAAAAATTAAGAAGATTGATCAGATTAACATTATTTGAACAAATATTCAAATTTTGAAGAATGTATTCTATAATGTAACATCTACATACATTTCAAAAATTATTACCCATTTCAATTTCATAAGATATTGGTTGTATGGTAGTTATGAAAATTGCATGAAAATACTCATCATGCTGAACAACCTTAACAAACCAAAACCACCACTGATAATGCATTTATTTATTTATAACTTTAGGTTAGCGATGTTCAACTTGGTAGAACCGCAAGTCCTGTCCCTGGAGCTGGGGCAGCTAGCGCCCCCGAGTGGTGCGTCACGCCAGCAGAGCTGATATCCTACGGAGAAACATTTAAGAAGGCCGATACTGATTTTGATGGATTCGTTGATGGCATGGCAGTCAAAGATGTTCTCTTACAAACTGGTTGTCCTCAGGCATCCCTTGCCCAAATATGGAGCCTATGCGATCTTAAAGGCACAGGGACGTTAAACACGGAACAATTTGCTCTGGCCATGCATCTCATCCATAAGAAGATGAATGGGGTGGAACCACCTAGCCAACTCACACCTGAAATGATTCCGCCTTCATTGAGACCCCAGGAGGGACTGCCTGATGGCGCAGCAGGTGTTAACATGGGGGATTTCCCAGGACTGAAGGAACTTGATATGATCGCTAAGGAGATAGAAGACCTGAAGCAGGAGAGGATACAGCTTGAGGCAGATAGACAGCAGAAAGATGCTGATATTAAACTAAAGAATGCAGAGGTATGACTAATCTTCTATGTCTTTCTTTCTAGCTAGTCTTGTATCAGATTAGTGGATCCCTTTCCAACTTAATTATAGCACATAGTGTTCTCCACAAGTGGGAGCAAAATTCTCATTTTCTCAAATCAGTTCAAAATTGGTCAAAATATGCCAGTTTTTCATGATTTTTCTCATTTTCAAGTGGTTGCAAAAGGATTTTCAGGTGGGTGCAAGCCTTTTGTTAAAATCTCAAGTGGGTGCTGTGCTGCACCCACTTGCTTCAATGCTGGGGAGATCACTGGTACATGTACACTGCTAAGGCGAGTCCAATTTATTAATGGCCCTGACAGTAAAGTATTCTAAGAACTTTTGAGATTCATTAGATGCAGAGGTTTCATTAGCAGCAGGCTACATGCGATTTTCACCGGTTGTTTTCACAAAATTGCATGTTGTTTTAGGGACTATTCAACTTTTCCATGTTAAATTGATGATTTCCACGAATTTTGCCCTTATTTAGCCTGTTGTGAGAAATTCTAGTGAAAATCCTGATGTATTTATTTTCAGGTGCAGCTACACCAGAAGGAGTTTGATGCAATACAGGGGACTCTGCAGCAACTTGAAAACCAGAAAGGTGAGATAAGAGACCACATACAGGGTTTCCCTTAAAGCCCCACAATGCTTACCTCAGAAGGAAAAAGGATAGAATAATCATTGAAACATGTCACTCACACACTGAATCAAATATGATACAAAGATTGATTTTCATTAATATTGAACCTTGAAAAAAATAAAGCACATAGAAAAAAGCATTTGAAGTTCAGAGATCATTAGTAATGCACCCCCATGTTTGACAAAGTGCAAGTTTTAAATAACTCTTGATTAAAAAGATGGCGACACTTCTATAGAAATGAATGGATCCTGTGATCCAAACATTTTCGCCATCTTTCATTGACATAGGCAAAAAACTTGATATATAAAACTTGACAGATCAAAAATATGTTTTGATAATTTATTGTAAGCTTTGATGTGGCCCGTTTGAGCTGTTTTTGGTGTCCAATAAAAACCAATCCATTGGAAATACTACAAGTCAAAAAGTAAAACTGTATTTTGCCAAACAATTTTGAAAATATGCATAGTAGGCCTTTAAGCTATGATTATAATGCTTTTAAATGAAATTGACAAAGAAACAGTAAATTAACACAACTTGAAAATTGTTAAAACATATTTTTATTCTTATGGAACATCATTTAAATAAATATCAATATGTCTTTTTGCAAATCTATTGTAACATACCATATTTAGTCCAAATTAACGCACAATGCACTTCCCAAATTCTCCTGGAGGAGATGTCTCAAATTACAAAATCCCTAGGGATTTTTCAATGGTACATAAATGGGTGATAATAGGGTACTCCATGATTCTCCTCTTAAAAACTGTACTCATTCCGACTAGATAACATGATATCATATCTCAATGTTTTCTTCATGGATTTATCAATTGGCTGATTGTGTTTTAGTGAGTTAATCAACATATATGCGTCAATATCAATGGAATTATTCAATCTACTTCCTTTCTGGCCAAGCTGCCCTTTTGGAAATTACGGCGATAGCCGAACAAAATCATAAGGCTTCCTGTCACTGACTGGTCTTTATAATCAGAGAAAATATGTTTTATATCTATAATACTACTAAGTAAAAGCAACCATTTTACTAAGAGGAGGGAAAACCACATGATTCAATTATGATGACATACGATTTCCTCCTTCGCACACCTTCTTTCCCGGAAGTATGTATATTTATACTTCCCTCCATCTTGGTTTTCAAAGTTTTCAAATTGACCTAGTTTTAAACCAATCAACAATCGACTTGCTAAACCAATCAGCGAAGAGCGACGATGTCATCTCAATACAGATTTACATTATAAGCGTATGTCATCTTTGAACCCCGGGGTTTCTCCCCCTCTTCATTTTACTTTATATTTTCTCCAGGTGAGGCGCAGAAGAAACTTGATGAATTAGATGATCGTAAATCCAAGCTAGAAAACAGCAGCATTGAGATAGAAGAGAAAATTGTTAGGGAACATGACGTGATTGATGAACTTAATATGAGGATTGGAAACCGGGAAAGTACAACGAAAAACCAAGAAGAAGAAATGAATAAACTCCGCCAAGATGTGAATGTTTTGAGGCAGGAAGAGTCAGAATTAGAGCAGAAATTGGAAGGTGGTAAAACTCAGCTTGAAATGGTGCGGAAATCGGTGAAAGAAACCATGGTTAATATTGATCAAGCCAAAGCGAAGATCCAGCACTTGGATGAGACACAGAAAACCTTCAAGGAGAGTATCGATGCTTATAATGCAATGTTAAGTGGCGATACCTCAGTGTCTGAACCCAGTCAGGCAGATTTGCGTACTGTTACACCTACACCTTTTCAGCTTGAAGAGATCAGTAAACAAGCTGTGCCGTCACCCTTGCCGCATGAGACCACCACTTCCCAGATTGCAACCACTGGGGATCCTTTCAGGAATGCTGATCCATTTGCCGGGATGGGTGGAGCCGCTACTGATGTTGATCCGTTTGCGGGAGCTGGTATCGCAGCAGATCCATTCGCCGGAGAAGACCCATTCAAAAGTGCAACATTAGATGATCCATTTAAAGGTGTGGATCCATTTGGGAATTCTAACACAGCTGCAGCAGATCCATTTGCAGGTTCAGATCCGTTTAGTGATACAAGCAATTCTGCCGGGGCTTCTGATCCATTCAAAGGTGGGGACCCATTTGGAAATGATCCTTTTGCCCCTAACCCTAAACAACCCCCACGTCCATCATCTGGGCCCGCTTTACCTCCAAAACAGAAAAAGCCACCTCCATCACGTCCACCCCCTCCCAGATCAAAATCACCAAATCCTGCAGCAACAACAAAAGCTAGTGATCCATTTGGTGGGAAAGATCCTTTTGGAGGGAGTGATCCATTTGGTGGAAGTGATCCCTTCGCTGCCAATACAACTACAAGTAGTTCTAACAGTGGTTCGTTTGCCAATTTTGGGGACTTCGGTAATTCTAGCAAAACATCAAGTAATGACGCGTGGGGAAGTTTCGGCACTACATCCAACACTGCAAATCTTGATTGGGAGAAATCGCTGCCAAAAAGTCGTGAACAGGAGCAGGCTGACCTTGAGATGGCTCTTGCTCTCAGTAAAACAGATAGCAGTGCTTAGAACAATAACAAATCCTGAATACCACTTAGAACAATGACAAATTGAATATTAAATTTTAATTTAACAGAGTAAAAATAAAGCTAAAACATCAAAATAACTCTGATTAGATGACAGTTGAGATCAGTATTTGAGCCAGGCCACAGGAAAAGGGGTCTTATAACAGATTTTTTCAATATTCTTATTTTTTGTTTATCTTTAAAAGCACAAAGAGACCTTTCAAATGAGCCATGACTTATGTTTTAACAATTTTTCCTTGCATATATAGACCAAAATGTCGATTTGAATTTAGTACATTTCCCTCTTAATCTTGGGCACAATTTTGGCTCTGTAGAACAATTTTAATTTTTGAGATAAGACCGGTTTTCATGTGGCCAAGCTCATTTATTAACACAAAGAATTAGAATGTAGTAGGCTAAATAGGTTTGACCAGCAATGTCAATGTTGTTATAGAAATAAAGTTGTCTGGTTGTTGTAAGTGGATTGAATTTAAATAACATTGTATCATTGTCAAAAGTTTCTGACTTTCTAAATACATTTTGGGTTATTTGATCTGTTGGGCCTTTACAAAAAACATAATTTGAGTTGCTCTCTGAAGCTTGGAATTTTTTTTGTCTATTTGTTGAAAAATCTTGGCCATTTCCTTTGAAAGCCCATTTTCTAGAGAAACTATATTCTTTGAAAATGAATTTTATGTTTTAGGCCCAAAATGAAAAAATGCCACTTCCAAATCCCCCATGCATTATTAATGAAACTTGAGATATAATATTATAATACTGTACTTGTATTTGTACATGTATAATTTTAAGAATACCATTGGAAAGCTTCACACCATGTACTGTACTTCTACTTAATTTGGCACTACTTAATTTGGTGAACTTGCAATGTTGAAATGTATATGCAATTCATATTTATGATTGAAATATTGAATTTGAGGACTACTTAATTTGGCACACTTTAACTGTTTAACAATTTGGTGGATCTGCCAAATTAAAAAGGCTGACAAATTAAGTAGAAGTATAGTATTCTATGAATCCTAACTGTATGTTCTATAAGTTAAAAGGCTATAAAATCTACTTCTGCATGCTATATTGAATTGATGCTATATATGAATTGATGTTATGATAATGATTAAAACAGTAAAATAGATCAGAATCAGAAAAGAACAATAATGTTGTTTGTGTTTTTGTGTGGTTCCCTCAAGGCCTGCATGTCTTTACCAGATTTCTTTAGAAACCTTCATGAATTAACATTTTATAACTTGGGTATTTGATTCAATCATATTTCATATTGTGAATTTCTCTATTGTAAATTTTTAACAATTGATAGCAATTTTCTAATTTGGCAGATTTGATGTTTTATTTCTTTATTTGTTTTGACCACATGAGTAATAGAATTCCAGGAGAGGGATAGTGTCCAATTTCAACAGTTCTGGAATAATTAAGTTAGTTCCATTAGGGGGGGGGGGGGGTCCATTAAGGGGGGGGGGGTAAATGATGATTCTGTGAAGTGTTGACTTTTAAATATTCAAGTGAAAGACATATCAACATTTCAAATTTCTTGAAACCTCAACCTTTGACACTATCCTTATTGATCTCACTAGAAATTTTCTCAATATTACAAGTTCATCTATCAAATTACGTATAAGTGTATAAGAAAGCCATTCAACAAGAACATCTAACTTTTCATAGATGAAATACAATTTTTGTATAAATTGGTACCACACCAGCTGTTTTCATAATAACTTGTAAAGTGCATTAGAAAGTGAAAATAGTTTACCTTTGCTTTTTTAGATGGCAGCACGTTTATTGCTGTTCTATTTATTGATATTCTTCATTAATCCTGAACATTGTGTCCACTTTCAACCTTTGATAACGCTTCATAAATTTATTTCAGCATATAAACTAACAGTAACATTATATTATCTTATTTATTTAAAGTTGATTGATATTTGAATATGTCCTGCTTCAGTATTTGACCTTGTATTAATTCTGTAAAATGGGGAGTAAGATCAATTGATAGAGTCAACCATAATTCAAGACTAGAAAATGGCAAGAGTTGAGTGAAAATTGGATTTTACATCTAAAGGTCAAAATGCAGCCTCCACCAAGAAAGGTATGTGGATATTTATGTTGTTATTTATGTGTACTGTATTCATATATACATATATTTGGACTAGAGTGACTGTAATTAAGAGGAAATTGACTAATTTGATCAAAATCTGAATTTTCCCAAATTGATTTTGCAAATGCCAAATGCACTTGTGGGAGTTGGGACAAATTGGATTGCCCATGGATGGGTTAAATCAGTTTTCACCACTTCTTGTTTATGTGGCTTATTTCCATATCCTATGTAAATGTTGAAAAACATTATGATCCCTCTTTTATGGTATGATTATCATGCGACATTGAGCTACTGTATTCGCAAACTGTCGACTGATGGGTGACAATTTGATTTTTATGGACCTCTTATGAGTTGGCCATAAAATAGCTATCCAATGGTCACCCATCAAAAGTCAGTTGAATTTGCGATTGCCGACTTAGTCATAAATGCAATAGAACACCTTTTACATATAATTTCTAAGTTTGATTGTTACGGAGCAAAGATGATTTGGATGAATATTTGGTTTGAGTATTAAGTATTGGTTTCAGCCTTTACTCATGACATCGGAATTTTAGTCAGTGATCTCCTCTTTATAGCCTATAATGAGGATTGGGCAGGGGGGAACTGACTCCCCATCCACCCTGATCCTCTCACTGTCTAATCCAAACGCCACTGGGGCCAGCCAAAAGTAAAAATATATTAGCTGGTGTTCACATTTCAAGGTCAATCATTGGATTTAGCAAAGTTACAGATAAAAAGTGTTCACATAGAGAGGTGCTTTTATACTAGAGGTGTTGGCATTAGAGAAGTAAACAAGCTCTATTGAATGTACCTTTTTTGATATAGGTGAAACCGGCTGTACAGTTGAAGAACAATCATGCGGAACAACTCAATAAACTTCAAGCTAAACATCAGCAAGAATATGATCTTTTAGAAGACATCAGGTAAGAGCATTTTGTGCAGCAACTGTGCATCTTGGTTCAGCATATAGATAGATGTGTTTTGATATGAAATAGCACAAGTATTAAGAACAAGAAGGGATAAATATCCTAAAAATCAGATCAAAATTCAATTTTTGAAAAAAGAATTAAAAAGGGATGGCTCATTTTTCTAAAAATCAAAATTAAACCAGAACTCATAGAGTTTTTGAAAATAGACCTGGAATTCATATTATATCTCCTCCAGTTTCTAATTGAAATGAAGCATCACTAAATACAGTAAAACCTGTCTTATCTGAACACTTTTTGGACTGGCCAAAAGTGTTCAGATTAGCAAGTGTTCAATGCAGATTTATAAATATGTGAGTCCATGGAAGATAAGAAATCTTGAACTAAGAAAAAGATGTTCACATTGAGAGGAGTTTGGATTAGAGGTGTTCGAATATACAGGTTTCACTGTAATATCAAATTGTTCAGCATGAATAGGCCTATAAGCAACAAAATTTGTGCAGCGATATTGCGGTATTGAATATCAATTCAGCGTTGATGTATATCATACAATTTGTGATGTAATCAATTGAAAATGCCTCAAGGAATATTTATGGATACATCCCCAAGAATAGCCTTGAATGTTTGTCATAAATTCTTCAATTTGTTTGTAACATTTTATGATATTCTTAAATAAATCCAATCAATAATGACACAATACCCATACATCCAAACAACTCAACTCCGTGTATTTTAAAAAAAAACGAGAACCTCCTTTCTGAGTCTACTCAATTTGCAAAACTTAACAATCTCCAAACAATATATGCTTTTCAAATAAAAAGGAAGTTATGTCAATATTTGGCTGAGAAGTTTCCTTCGGAAAATCAATCACCCCTTAGTAGAATTGATCATGATATGTATAAATCAATAACACTACCACAAGAGTATGGTATTAATACAACACTGACTCCAATATTTAACCTAAAATCCCATTGCTAGGCCCCATGTTCGTTAAGCCAATTTTCCTTAATTTATCCCTCATTCAATGGGAGTGAACCATAGAAATGATCCATGTAATTTTAGATTGATCTAACTCCTTGAGAGGAATGGGGGAGGGGGGTGCCAATTTGCTGAACATTTTTTGGAATGTCTACCCTGCGTGCAGAGTCTAGTTAAACTACACTCTGCCTAGTAGAGACCATATTACAGTTTAGTAGCCCCGCCCCACGACGGGTACCGGTGACAGTTTGGGTAATAAATCACTTCTGACATACGAGCTGACCTTTCTTCCACCAGTCAGCGAGCTTGAAGAAACATACGCCAATTGCGTTCTAATTAAATATGCGCATGCCATTGGTCAATTCCGGGCTCAATGATGACGTAAGAAGGAATGACCATATATAGAACGTCGGTCAAATTTGGCCGACGAACACTGATTGGCGCGGTGAGTTCACAGGTTTATTTTAGTTTGAAAGAGTGAAGACGAAGCTCTCTTTTAAGAAGTGAAGTCAAACAAATGCAAAGGGTATGGAATGTCATATTAAAAGCTTTTTTTGCACAATAAAAAACATGAATTTATGTTCACTTGAGCCAAAGTAATAATAGCTAGAACATGAATATAATTCTGAAAATCATAATTTGAAATGCAATTTATTAAGTTAAGTGTAAATAAGAGAATTTGGTACTGAACAAGTATGATATTCATTTTTTAACTCCTTACGGAATATATTATAATCTGTCAAGTTTAGGAACTTCAAGATTAAGTGTCCAAAATAGACACATGCCCTTCTCTATTTTATTCATGGGCTTTTCACATGTGAGAGATCTTTGATTGCCTTGTTGATGTATGTAGTTTTGACAAAGATTAGATAAGCAGGTATTATACTACTAACTAGTTAGTGTGCCAGAAACTCACTTTTCTTTGCTACTACCCCACTGATGCTAAGTAGTCTAGCTTAAAGACTGTGGACAAACTCCCCCCCTGGGCTTACCCTCCCCCAAGAAAGTGGTTGATTGAGTCCTTCTTTTGAAAAGATATACCAATTTCCACATCCTGTAGTCTGTAAATTAGACTCTATAGTACTTAAAGGAGAACAAAACTTTAGAATTTCCTGTGACCTTTAGATCTTTCTTGCAATGTTTGAATTATTCATAAGTAAAACAAAAACCTAAAAGCTGTAAACAATGAATTGTAAGATACACTGAGATAAGAATCTTACATTACTAAGTTATCTAGTTCATGCATATTTTACCCAGCAAGTACAGTAAAACCTGTCTAATCTGAATGTCACGAATGTCGCTAGGACTTGTCAAAAGTGTTTTTAATAAAAGTTGTAGGAGGTGATCACATTTCAAGCTTTTCTTAACAAGGGTCTCAATGGAAGATTAGGACCAAGATAAAGTGTTCGTATTGAGAGGTGTTCAAATTACAGAAGTGTTCTTATAGGTTTTACTGTACCTTCATACCCAATTCAGAATTAAAGACGAAATAAGCGGGTACACATACCCTATATTCTACCTATGTATTCTAAGGCTGTTATTACCAATATAGGATACATCATTAAAAAGCTTGAATGAGTTGAATTCCTGTGGCAAAATATCAGATGATGCTTTGAATTGTCTTGCTTACTTACCAATCTTATATCAATTCAAATGAACCCCTAACCTCATATAAACACAAATGTTGTACCAATACTGTATAGTATGAACAAGTGCCCCGAGATGTTAGTAGTAAAAATGGTAAATGAGAGTCTTACACTATTACTAAAACATGAATATCAGGCTGACAATGAGTCCATTTGCCAAATACAGTAAAACCTCTATATCCAAACACCTGTCAAATCTGAACTCCTCAATGTGAACACTTGTTTACAGTCAGGATGGAGCATAAGGAACATTTTTGTGGTGGTCAAAAGGACCAGCTCAAGAGGTCTTTTAGGTGGTCCGTTTGAAAATTAACTGGTCACATTTGGCCACTGAATTTTAAAACCTACTGGTCCGTTTAAAAACTAACTGGTCTATTAATACTTTGAAAAATATCCCACATTGGCATTTTTGTCACATTTTTAAAAACTTTTCTCGATAGGAACATCTGAGAACATTTCCAAGTATTTGATTGGTTGACTTTTCGCTACAGCGAGCTTTGAACACTGAACGAAACTACTTAACAAAACTACATTGAGAATGCAAAAAATAAATATTTATTTTTCGAACATTTTACGACGAAATAAGTAAGTAAATTCTGAAGATTTTATTTTCATTTTTACATCAAAATACAGGTGGTCCGTTCATTTTCTCAAAACAAAATGCCATTCAGACATTACTGGTCAAACGGACCTGTCACATTGGATAAAGAGGTGGTCCGGTTCAAAAATAGCTGGTCATTGGCCCCCGGGACACCGGTTATGCTCCACCCTGTTTACAGTCTCATTTTTAATCTGCTGTAGGCTTCCATGTTGAGAAACCTTGAAATGTGAACACCCTTTTCAGATCAGATAGGTTTTACTGTATAGGAATATGATTTCCATTAAAATTGCAATGAGGGGACCATGTGTTCTAAACCTGATTTGAACATCCTGTATCTAAAAGAATATTCAAGTTCAAGTTACTACTCCCTTGCAATTCAATTGTATAGAAAAGATATGGTTCATAATAGTTATATAAACTTATGAAATCTCACAAGTCCTCCTTAAAAAATTCTCTCATTTTATGTTAGTGTGTGAACTATATGTACAGGTGCAGGCCCATATCCAGGGGGAGAGCGTTTGATGGGTTCGAGCGAAGCACCCTCTGGCCAGAAAATCTTTCAAAATCATGCAGTTTTTCACCATTCTGTGCACTTTTTAAGTGATTTTGGCCATTTTTGGACCAAAATTGTCACAAGTGAACCCCCCTTGGAATTTTTCAAAAAGTGAAACCCCCTTGGCAAATTCTGGCTATGGGCCTGGGGTCTCTTGACTTATTTCTTGCTAATTTCCTTTTTATGTATGGTTACCATCTTAATTTAAGCCTGGGGATGAAATAATTCAAAATTATCTTTCTTGTCATCTGGATTTACAAGGTTATAGTTGCTCCAAATTCAGTTGTAGTACACCTTGAAAGTTGAAGATACACCTTTCGGTATCTCAAACATTGTTCTGCTTGGGAGGTATTCTAAATACAGAGGTTCATTTAAAACAATTTAGTAAATAGGCTGCAGGAAAAGTGTTCTACTTATAGAGGTGTTCCACTTATAGAGGAGTTCCACTTATAGAGGTGTTCCACTTACAGAATACAAAGGTGTTCCACTTAACAGTTTTTACTGTAAATACAACTTTCACTTAATAATATAATCAATTTTAAGTTTACATAGGCAACATTTTATATTTTATTCCTTGGCCTTTTAGGCCACCATGAATTTTATTCAAGGGCTTTTGATAATTACAATAGAGCCATGTATCGGAATCAATCAATACATGATAAGGTATTACTCTGTTAACATTTAGCTCATACACAGGAACCCCAGGCTCCTTAAGTACAGTAGTATTGAAGTGAATTTTTTGCTTCATTTCTTGAAGTTTGTGGTATTCGTTAAGATACAGATGTATTAAAAGATTATCATGATTTGACTCCTAACACAATGATTGGTGTTAAGTTATTCATACATATAGAAACTGACTTTATATTGTGGTATTTATGGTTCAGCTGGAAAATAACATTTTGGTAAAAAATTGCTATACCTGCACATGTTATTTTCTTGTACAAAATTAAGTATGAAGGCATGTGTGTATTTCCTTGCTTTTTTCAGGAAAGTATCATTACACTGTCTACTTTTAGTAAACCTGGAAACAGGTCAATGGTAGCTCCTGTGTTGTCTGGAAACTTTGAAAGAAAATTCGGAAAAATAGAAAGTGTGAAATATCAGAATTTCCTGGAGTTCCCATTGAACTCCTACCAGATATTCTAAAAGAAGACAATGTAATGATACTTTCCTGAATAAAATGAAGCAAATTGACACATGCCTTTATAGTTTATTTTGTACCAGAAAATAACATGTGTAGGTATAGCAATTTTTTACCAAAATGTTATTTTCCAGCTGTACCTTAATGATCTTTGAGAAGACATACAAGGTAGTTCAACATGTTCAGAAAAATACAAAAAGTAATTTGGAGACAAGTCATTTCAACATGATTTAGACATAATATTTTGAACTACACATAACATTTTGAAAAATATTTTATATTTCATAAAATATTGGTAATTGTAATAACAACAGCTATATAAAAATACTCATAGCAAATCTACCTTAAGAATCCGAAATAAATAATTAAAATCAAGGCAATAACGATTTTATTAAGCATCCGAATCAATTTTTAGCCAATGAAATGTTTTCTGCTTTTTCGCTGTTTAGATAATGAATACAAAGTAAGTTATATAACTCTGACATACTGAAAATAAACTCAGAATGTCAAAAGCCCATCAAAACAGTTATCTGCAAGCATGTTACATTTGAGGTTTACTGTGGTGATTGATGTTTCTTTTTGTTTTTCTGTTTCAGAAACTTCAGTAAACAGAGATCCACAATAGAAAAAGACTATGCCCAGGTAAGAGATGTTCGGTTATAAAGAAACTTTGAATTACTCTTAATCACATATGCTTTTCTGTTTACTCCGTGGGTATCAGGCCTGTAGCCAGGGTCTGCCAAGGGGGGTTCAGTTTTCAAAAAAAGTCCAGGGGGTTCACTTTGGGAAATTTGGCCCAAAATTACATGAAACATGCTCAGAGTGGTGAAAAACTGCATGATTTTGAAAGAATATGTGGCTTATGGAGATTTGTTTGTTTGAACCCTGGCTACGGGCATGGGCATATTCTTTGGCATTGTATGCATCAGTTATCCCAATTCTAGTCTGGGTGATTCAAATCTGATGATTCCAATCTCAGATCGCTCAAAATTATTGTTTAGTCTCCCTGAAGCATAATGAGCTGTTCTTTGGAGCTTCTTTTACTGAATCTAACTACACTCTTTTTTAGTTAAGATTCAATCTCTGAATTTCTTATATACTCACAAAAAGCTACATATTAAATGGAGACAATGATGATTTGTGTAGTCTATGTTAAAAATGTTTAAAGCAGTTAGAAAAGTTCATGTGAAACTGCCATTATCCTATGAAGGGGGGCCTATGAAAATATGATTCTTGTATTTTACATGAACATTGTAGGTTGTATTTAATATAGTGACAAATTACACAGACATATTACAGTGCTTTTGATTTGAACCATTCTCTTTTGCCTGTTCTCGGGGGTCATGTCAAAATTGCAAAGTTCATGTTATGCTATTCTCACCAAGTCACCAAGTCATATAATTTACCGTACACAACATGTTTCAGCTTACTATTAATCTAAATCAAACCTTATTTATACCCTGGGATAACCATCCAGGATAATGCTATGATTGTATAAATATTTAGAAGGCAACTGAGCCAAATGCCTCAATCAGCAAAAGTTAACAAAATAATTTTTTGGACATTTATTTACTTAAACTGAGAAATCATGTCCTATATAGACATATTCGTTATCTTATTTGGCCTAAGTTTTGCCTCACCTATTTTGCCCCACCTATTTTGCCCCACCTATTTTGCCTCAACTATTTTGCCCCACCTATTTATTTGTCTCACATATTTTTAGATTCTGTCTATGTCCCTGAATATTAAACATTTTTCAATGTAAAAGTTCTATATTATCATGAAATATCTGAAATGGAAGCAGCAGGAAGACCAGCATAGAGTTTTTCCTTAGACAATAGGGATTATCTCCTTAAATCCCCCACTAATCCATTTAAAGATCAGAGTGTCATTTTCAGCTGTCTAATGGCTTACCTCCTGGCCATCAGAGAATAGACATTTCAAATAAATTCTGACTCCTTTTTTGGTGAATCAAGGAAATTGATTATTTCAGAAAAGGGGTTCATTTATCTTTCGAAGACAATACTTTTCTTTAAATGATATTTAACAATATATTTTTGGAAAACAAATTTGTTGTTTATTGAAAATTTATAGCTCAGCTTAATAATTTGGAAGACCATATACTTTTTTTTACTAAAATGCTAAAAATGGGAAGTGATAATTATCAATGTGAAGTATCAATCAACAAATTTATCAGCACCTGATCACACTTGAAATAAGTCAAATTGGAGTTTGAATCCCAAAAATGAAAGAATTAGTTAGATATACTTTTTGATAAAAAATGCATAAGAGAAACGGTTAGAAATGCAATTAATCAATAAACATAAATCCTGAATTGCAAATATCAAGAAAATTTGGGAATTTCTCGTGTTTAAGATATATTTGTGGTGTCTCAAACATCTTAAGTGTTGTTATTTTGAGCATGGGGAAATTGCCTTTGAAGCAATTTTAGAACACACTCATGTATCAAGTTGACAGGATATTTCAGCTACTCCAATATATGAGAAGTGTGGTGATTTTTTATGTGAAATGTATCATCAATTATTGCTGTATGTCTCGGAGCCAAATCAACCTGAAAATTAAAATTAATTCGGACAGTTTTTTATGTGAGAATGTTGGTATTTAGACCACCCTGTTGATCAAGAAATGTAAAAATAGGTCGCTTTACATCATCGTACACATATTCTATTGCTCAATTTACCTGCTGCACATAATTTCATTGCTATATTTCTAGGAAATTGCACAATGGATCAAAACTGGCAAATAATACTGTCTTAAAACATTAAGATTCATCCTTTATGTCTAGCCACTGAAAACCTCTTCACATTTGATGGATTGCTGAAGTAGATGGGGGGGTCCACAATCTTGATGCTTTTCTAAGTTGTATTTGGTTTTTACACATTATTAACCTTTAGCGTGCTGCCGGCGGACTCGTCCGCCGAGACTAAAATGTCTCTCACAACTGCCGGCGGACCCGTACGCCCGATTTCAAACTTTTAAAAACTTTACTTTTTCGCGCCATTCGTATTGTCCAATTAGATTGCCCGATTTATTCAGTGCCTAACATGACTTCCTGTTGACCTAGAAATGCGATATTTCGAAAAATAATTCTCAATTCAACAATTTAAACAGTGTTTAAGTCGTTTTTAGTGAACGAATCGTACAAAATGGTGGACAAATACGATCACAACGAAAATGTGGAGGAAATGGATTACGATTTCGAGCTCTTTAGGCTCTTGGAAGCCGATAACGGTCATCGAAAATAGAAGCTAGAATATTTTCTGAATTGAAAAATTGAACATTTGATCGCTGCAAATTCAGATTTGGATTCTGACCAGACGAAGAGGCGGAGCGGCGGATTCCGGAGGATTATTCATGGTATATTTATGCCCAGTCGTGTTAATGTACGAAAAAATTCATGAGAACATTTTTTTCATGAGCCAGGCCACTGTGTCTTCCCTTTGTGAAAATTTTATCCAGATTCATTCAGTAGTTATTGAGATATTAATTATTTAGTCCAGGCATATCATTTTTTGCACTCTTTGAAAAATAAGCCAGTTGCGTGGGATATATTTGCTGAAATAAGGCAGCATGGTAAAGGTTAAATAAAAACTAGTTCAAAATAAAGATCTTTTGTTAAGATAATCTTCATATGACAGTTTCCCATTTTCAAAATTTTCTTAAGTGAGGAACTACCTTAATACATTTGTTTTAAAAGTATTTATCCTTGTGCGATTATTGTCCAATATTTTCCTCTCCAAAAACGAACTGTAACAGAAAAGGTTCTGAAGAGATATACAAGCATTGACCTTTGACTGCATCAATGCTAGATAATCAATAGCCTTTTATAGAAAAGGGTACAGGGTTTCCGGATCAATTGTTTGAGCTGCATATTTTGCTTCTACAGGGCTCTACAGGCATTTAACTTACAGTATTAAAATGTCATACCACAGTTCAACCACAATTGAAAACCTGTTGTGTTTCTTTGTGCTCCAGGAGGATCTTCAAGATTGATGCGTGCATGAAGGAATGTTGTCAGCTCTTTATAAGATGATCCATCAATCTTTTTTTGTATTGTCTTACAGTATGGTTTTTTGCTATGTTCTCTTTCTTGGATACCAGGACATTTTTTCATTTTTTTCCATTTTACTATCTTTAGCACAACTCATATGTTTCATTTTACCATCTTGAATTAATTGTAAGTTATTTTAAGTATGTAAAAAAAATCTTTATTTCCCCTTGGCAGAAAAATCATCTTTATTCTTTCTTGTGATATTCACTTTTCAATTTAAGATTGTACAAAAACCTTGATGCTCATGAAAATGGCCATAATGGCTGTACTCCTTATGTAAGGAAATCCAGTAAGCTGAGTAGCTGACATGCATTACAAAATCAAATAATTTCAGGAAAATCAATAGATAGGAACAAAGCTATTAATTAAATCAGTGACATTAAACACTCAACTGATAAGTAAATGCACTGCATGTGTACAACTGTGCCTTAATTAAACTCAATGTGGTACATTAGAAGTGTGTATAGGTGATGAAGCCAGGTTATTCTTTATGATTATATATAGAGATTTTAAGTCAAGCTACAAGACCCTGTGACCTCCCCCCACTACTTAACTACACAGGTATGAAAGCTTCTCACACAGGGGGATGTGTGTAGTAGGGGAAGGCACAAAGGGTTTAAGAAATTCTGTTAACCCCACCCCTGCCACATTTATCAGTTTACCCCCCCCCTGATATGCCTGACAAGCCTCACAATGCTATCTTTGTAGAGTGTCTAATCTTGTATCATATCCATATGTTTCCTTCCATTTTCGATCAGATACCTTGTAGGGGAAATGCCAGTGAATAATAGGGGCATTGTTTAGCCTGGAAGTTGACAGGGCAAGGAAAGGTGATATTAATTTGAAAGTCCCACCTTATGCTTGCCATATGCTATTATTAGGCCCACCTTTGGAAATTTGGACCCTATATTTTTCATGAGTATCCTGAAATAAAGTCAGACTAAGACTTTTAAGAAAATATTCTTAGGCAGAACACAAAATTAATGAAAAATGTGTAACTCCTTTCAGTGTAATGAATAATTACCCGCATTGAGACATTTTTGAGAAAATGAGACATAGCCCATGTTTTATGCCATCGGGACCATGTATGTTTTTTCTTCCCATTTTTCTCTAGAATTTGAAGGGAGTAACTTCAATTGGTAGAACAACTTAAAGAATGTTATTCAAATAGTTTATGATACTTTATTTCAAGTTACGATATATTTCTGTTTTCTTCTTTTTGGCTCATTATGTGCTATATGTATACATGTCATGATGACATCTTGACATACCTGATACAAGTAAAAGTGAAAGGTCATCAAAAGTATGCCTAAATTTAAATTAGTTAATTTGATAAATTAAAACCTCATTGACTTTTGAACTTCTAAAATTGAATGTGTTTTCATTAAAATTTTACCAAACATGATTCATACATGCCAATTTTCAATTCATATCTGCCAATATATGAAAATTACTATTCAATTGACTCTCAGTTAATTCTATAAACTTTTCGCTTTAAAATGGATGATGTCATAAAAAATGAAGACACCCTGACATCAACTAAGCCTAAAGTAAGAAAACTGAATTCTGTTAATTCAATTACTCCACCCTACTTACAGTGCTGTGTTTTATCGCCATGGTAATTGAAATATATGTCAATTCCATAATGTTATCTATTATTAGCAAAAATTAAACCTTTAAATTAAAACAAGTTAATGAAATATAATTTTTATGTCACCACCAAAAAGTGGTGACATATTGTTGTTAATCATTGCCATACTGGCTCTATATAATCATTATCTTAGGTGATTTGATAATAGTCATTGTTGTAGCAACTTTTTTTTACGAATTATTGTCATCACGACTCTCTATAATAATTGTCGTAGCTGATTGATCTGTTTAATCATTTCATACATGTAGTGACTGTATATAACCGTTATTGTCATAGCGACTTTATGCATAATTGTCATGGTGACTCTATAAAATCATTGTCATAGCGACCATTTAATCTTTACCATAGCGACTTTATATGCATTGTCATAGCAACTCCTTCGATTTCCATATCAGCTTGTTTGCTCAAAAGGCTCAAATAATCATGAGTACCAGAATGCAGAATAAGTCATTATTTACAGGGATACAGAACTATTTTTCATCACCATCAGTGTAATAAGCTGTCAACTGGAAAATGAATGATATCTGAGAGTCAAGCAATTTAGCTCTTCGAAAACTACAAATACTGATTTCAAGCTAACAAAAAGCTTTTTGTGAATGGATACAGAACGCCTCTGTTGTGGTAATATATGGTTTTATGACAGAGTGGGTTTATATTAAGTGAAAATGACAAGTATGCTATGATAGGTTAAAGAAATGTCCCTTTTTATTATAAGTTAACATTTATTTAAAAATTTAGTAAACTACTGTACAGATACCTTTTATCTAAACTTGTTTTCTCAAAAATGAGTTTTTTAAAACTAATAACAAATCTTTCCTTTCTACTTCACATTAACAAATAGTGACAGATACATTGTTCTTTAAACTACATGATTAACTTTTAGATTTTTACTGAATCAGAAATGATAAGATATATCACTGAATTTTCCAAGGGGGTTCACTTTCCAAAAAATTCTAGGGGGGGGGTTCACTTTGGCAAATTTGGCCAAAAATCACTCAAAAAATAGTCAGAATGTTGAAAAACTGCATGATTTTGAAAGAAATTTTGGCCAGGGGGGGGGGGTCGCCCGAACCCCCCTGGCTACGGGCCTTATCAGCAAAACAAAAATACATTAGTTCAAGAGCAAACAACCCATGCAGTCAGAGTGAAAACAGATCTCAAAAAACATCTTGATCTACACTGTCTATTAACCTTTTCTATAAATAAGATTCATATTCTAGGCCAAGAGCTGTGTTTGTGTTAGATCAATGAGAAGTTGGTTGGTTGTAGAATTCAAGGGAAAGCATCAGTGGAATTAGCCTGAGATTAACAGATATGGGAGATTATCCTATTAAGCCAACATCTGTCAGAATTAGCCTGTATACCATCATTCATCAGTTTATACTTGAGAAATCTAATTGACTTTTGGTTTCCTGTTGGCATTCTTGGATGCCATGCTTGAGTGCATCTTCAGGTGTATTTTGCGGATCTTTGAAAATCTTGCATCTTTTGGATTCTCTGGAATAGGGTACACAAAAAATCATGTAGATTCCTTTATTATTGAGAGTTATTCCAAAATTAGTGGGTGGCATTTTTTGTGTCACCGTTGTCCTTTTTTGTGTCTATTGTTCTGAGTTGGTGATATTTGGCATTCAACATTGGCATGTATGGTGTTCTGTTACACTTGTTACAACTTCAACCAGGTGGGGGCATCAATTTAATGCGAAGTATTTAACATATATCTGCTACATCCAGACATGCAATGCCTTCCCCTTAAACATAGTGAAGCTTCGTCTCAATTGTACATTCATTGAATTTTTTTTTCATTGTAGGCACTTTCCAAGCTGGCCAACCAGTATTTATCAAAGTCTAAAGACTGGCCCCCTTCTCCTGATATATCCAGTGATGATGGAAAAGATCACAAGTAAGTTGCTGATGCAGATATTATTGTTGACACCTTGATCCTCAGTGCCCACTTTGCCTAGCAACCCATTGTGTCAATGCCCACTTTGCCTAGTAACCATTTGCCTCAATTACCATTTTGCCTAGTAACCATTTGCCTCAATGACCATTTTGCATAGTAACCATTTGCCTCAATGACCATTTTGCCTAGTAACAATTTGCCTCAATGCCCAATTTGCCTAGTAACCATTTGCCTCAATGACCATTTTGCCTAGTAACCATTTGCCTCGATGCCTTCTTTGCCTAGTAACCATTTGTCTCAATACCCACTATGCCTAGTAACCATTTGCCTCAATGCCCACTATGCCTAGTAACCATTTGCCTCAATGCCTACTATGCCTAGTTACCATTTGCCTCAATGACCATTTTGCCTAGAAACCATTTGCACCAATGCCTACTTTGCCTAGTAACCATTTGCCTCAATGCCCACTATGCCTAGTAACCATTTGCCTCAATGCCTACTATGCCTAGTAACCATTTGCCTCAATGCCCACTTAACCTAGCAACCTTTTGCCTCAATGCCCACTTAACCTAGCAACCCTAATCTCCCAAATTTCCACCAATGCCAACTCACTAACCTGGGCCCTTCTAGATCATTTGAGACATTTATTTGAGACTTTTATTGTTTTGATGCAAAACTTATGATATCACCCCTAAGGTATCAACAGTTGCTAACTTCAGACCTTTGAACCTCAAAAAAAGTTGACTAATACAATTACTTCTCAATTACTAGACTATGGTTTAACTGCAGTAAAGTTTGTTTTTGTAAATTGTACCAGAAATTCATTCTCCAGTGATGTTTCTAGGATTTTATTCTAGAGAAGATTCAGAATTCTATATAATGGTTATTTAGTATACCATTTACATTGATTATATATTATATGAAGTATTAACTCTTATTATAACATTGATTTGTTATGTTTGCCTTTATTGCTGCCAATAATAGGAAGTTAAATGGAAGGTAAGTGTCATTGAAGGATTACCCTGTGTTCCTACTTGGCCTATACTCTCATCTACACTCTGACTATAACATACCATTTTAGGGTTTTAATTTTTTTTATTCAATTTAATACAGTTCAATTATAAAACAACTTGATCCAAAAAATAGTATGAAATGCCTAGCAAAGAATGAAGCATGATTACAATTTGAATGTTCATATACATTAGCGCAAAATTCAATGTTGCAAGCTATTTTTGACTTGAAGTTTGCATTTATAAAGAGATCAGCCTTTTCCGAGAAAGCTATCCAGTTTGAATTAACAGTGAAAGCAACAATTGTCAATAATAAGTCTCTGAACATTGAGATCTTGTTTTCATGGATTTTAGGGTTTTGATGCCATTATTGATCCAAATCATCTCAAATGTAGTATTCATGGCCTTACAATGTAACGTAACATCAGTATTTTTTAATCTTTGATATTTAGAGTATATCTGGAGAGTGTAGTCAATTTCAAATCTAGCTCTTTAGGAGGGTATACTGGTCAATGTTTGAAAAGCTGTATTGGAATTGTGGCATGTGATAGGCCAAGGGTCCATAATTCATTTGATTACATCAAAACCCAGATTACATGTACTATGGTGATATCCAATGGGACCAATATTGATGGGTAGTCAAATACACGTCATTAAACATCAACTTGAAATACAACTGTAGAAAGAGCCAGTCGATAAATTGAATTAACATGTCAATACATAATTCAATTGTCAAGCCGATTCTTAGATATAAGGATTGAAAAAGTATAAAAGACTGTGTCTAAGATAATTTATAAGGCAACAATCTGTAGTATTTCGAGTCAGTTTTCTTTCTTGTTAAACATATTTTTCGCAATATGATTTCATATTGACTTAGCAAAATTGTAGTAATTCACTCAAATTGATTTTTAGATTCAGACAATGTGGATATAATGTGGTAGCAAGTGTTCTAGATTGCCACAATTATAGAAACTAAACAATGAACATTAGAGTTGATTTTTCTAGTGCTAAAAAATTAACCATCAAGATGACACTGTTTTATCACATCCAAATTTTATGTTATACTTTCTGATGTTTTGACTTTGTGAAGGGGTTCACTAAACCTAGACGTCGCCAGAGGAGTTACACTTCTACCCATCACACTATATCCATTAACTAAACCCGTAGAATGGTGAAGTAATTGAAAATTCAAATTAAGGAAATCTGCAAATTCTCTTCGGAAACTGAAAAGATTGCGAATGAGTTGGTAACTGGACAACTGGGTCCCTTACATGTACATTACCTCTACTGTATATGATATATGAATAAATGGCTATAACATCTTTTGATAAAAGGACTAAAAACCTTTTGATAAAAGACTTGAGAGAACAATGTGAACTAATCGAGTATACTGATGGGCTAATATATACATAAAATAGGATTTTATTTGTACTGATGCGCTTTTAGGGTCAAACGTACATCCAACAATTACAATTTCCAAATACCTTAAAAATAGCAATAAAGTAATTGTTTGAATCTTCGTAGTCCATTGAATAAGAGATGACATTTTTTTGATTTTAGGAAAAAATCAGAAATGATATGGATCCATATTATACTGAATATAGAAACTACTCTTTATCTCTGATTATATAAGATTGATCTCAAATAATGAGGCCTTCACTTAAATTATTAGGCAGAGGAACATTTACTGTAATTAGTGAGATTAGTAGAAGTTCCCCAATCCAGGCTTATATTCTCCTTATGTTGGTAGGGATTCACTTATTGATCTGAAATTTTCCCTTGACATTATAAAGACACCACCCCATCCTTAAAACGACAGTTGGGTGATGTTGATTTAACTTCATTTCTGTTTCACTTGTGAATGATTTGATTGGTTTTCTGGTATTTAAGACTCAGGAGTGAAATAGTCAATATCTGTTTATTTGATTATTTGTAACATCAATCTTTTTCCGATTAAATCATTTTTCTGAATATAACCTTGTGTCATTTTGTGGAATGGATTGATTCCCTCAATTTCATTATCTACTGCTCCTCTTTTAGCTGAGGTAACTTCAACAATCCCATGATGTTAGAGCCCATAATTGAACATTGCTCTAATCTGATTGTCTTAAGAAGATCATGTGACTTAGGTAAGGGATTATGGGAAGAGATCTCAATTGGTGTTTTTGAGTAGGGGGCCATGTAAGTCAATCACAAATGAGGATTTATTCAAGACTCATTCATAAAATGAATTTCCAACCAACATTATATTCTCGTGCATTTATTTTCATTTTTATTCCTAAATTAGTATTTGTCTTTTTAATTACTGTTATATGCATTTCTATCTCTCTCAAATCTACTCAAAAAATTCACCATGTTAATTTGTGGATCTACAAAGGCCTGTAGCCAGGGGTATGGGGGTTCGAGTGACCCCCCTAGCCAAAAATTCTTTCAAAATAATGCAGTTTTTCACCTTGCTGAGCACTTTCCAGGGATTTTGGCCATTTTGGGGCCATAGTCAATTGTTAACACCCTGGAATTTTTTTTTAAATTAACCTCCTTGGCAAAAACCTAATAGATGCTGTATTATTGTGTTAACTCTTTGGGGAAGTTTTATTGTTATTTTGAATTCCATAATAAGCAAAACATTTGCAAATAAAATGAATAATATTATATCTGTATGTCAAAATAACCAAGCTTTGGAATTTCTGTCTAAAAAATAAATAAGACACTGTTCATTCTATTAACCTTTTGACAACCCAGAGTGATGAGATTTCTCGTCACCTTGGGAATGACCTTGAAACCTAGAGTGAGAGATAATCACTAAAATTGCTCTAATTTGAACAATTATCATTAGTCTACATCATCTAATTAAAATCCAATCCAATTTAAAATGTGTAGAAATGACCTCTGCCAATATATTTCACTATCTTAAGCATTATCTGTTGTATATGTATGCAGTAAAATGTCAAAAGCTTAGAAAATGAAAAACTCTCTGGTTTTAGCCTATTTTAGAGGCTGGGATTCGAGGGGTAATGACGGTGTCCTATATCAGGGGCTTCATTTGCAGCAGGCAATTATTAGGCCAATTTTCCCAAAATTAACTGTTGTTTTAAGAAATTTTGCAACTGTTTCAATGTTAATTATAATTTCCAATAATTTCTTTATTTTGATCATAAATAACTCAGTTGAACAGCTTTTACCAAACTAGACATAAGTCTGATAAAAATTTATTATTTTCATTATTTGATTTATATAATTAGAGACCTTCATTGTGCAGTGAATGCTAAGAGTATCACTATGAATTTCTCAGATTTCCTTTGGCTCTTGCTATGTTAAAGAATGTTACAAGCATAGCTATAGGGAATATTGGTAATCAATGACCAGCCAGTATACTTAAAAGCCATTAAGTCCTCAAATATCACTTGGTTGGTATAATTTACTTAAAAACCCAGCATGAATCTCAGCTAAAACCTGCATATCATCTTAGGATAAACTGATATACTAACAAGTGTTAAAGGGCCCTCATTTTTGATATACCAATCTTGACATTTTAAAAACAGTTCAGTTTTGTTATTCTCTGTGGAGTTTATTGGAGTCTTCAAGATTGATTTTAGCTCTTTGTATCTAAATGTACTCTGTCAACCCCTGGGGGCATAATCATATGTCATATCATTTCCTTTTTGATTGAGGGAGCTACATAACATGTTTTAAAGAAAACTTATAATGTGAATGTGTTGTCCCCTTTCAATTTATTTTCCTTATACCTTTATACTCAATCAGCCAATCAAAAACAATGAAGGGGAAATTGGATCCTTCAGAACCTCAGTTCTACTAGCAGCAGGCAACAGGCGATTTTTACTAGTTGTTTTCACAAAATCGGCTCTTGTTTTAGGGACTTTTCAACTTTTCCATGTTAAATTTATGATTTCCATTAATTTTGCCTGTTGTTTTCATTTATTTAGCCTGTTGTGAGAAATTCTAGTGAAACCCCTGTACATGTTATTATATCTCCAGTATCTAACAGTAAGGCTGAGCTGAAACAATGTCATATGCCCTGTCATATTCAATCTCAATCCCACTTTACAGTATACAATTATTGACCTCTCCAGAGGTTTACTGTCAAAATTATATCCCGAGACTGTAAACCGAGACCGTAGGTCGAGGTTTACAGTCGAGGGATATAATTTTGACAGTAAACCGAATGGAGAGGTCTATAATTGTTTTGTTAGTCCGAAGAATATCTTAGATTTTTCTGACCCTTGAAGTTGACTTGAAGTTGGATCCAGACCCTCGAGACGTTCATGTTGTATTTCAGTATATCGGCAGTAAGTTCACTCAATGGAGTCAAATTACTCTCCTGGGCGAAGTCCACTAAAAGCTTTGTACAAAGTTTTAGATTTTTCTTAGTATGTTGACTGTCTTTACTCTCTAAGAGACTAATAATATCCTCATCTTCAACATTTTTGAAACGGCTAGTGCTAGCGGCGGCCATTTTATCGTCTGATAATGACGTCATTTTAGTGGAATGCTGGGAATATTATTCACCGGCAATGCATTGCGCAGTGTACAGTTAAAATTATTCACCGCTCGTTGACCAATCAAAATCGAGCATTTCAAGTGAGGTACTAACAATAAAACTTGTATATCCAAACTCCTCTCTAATCTGAACACCTCTCAATGTGAATGTAATTTCTCAGTCACAATCCAGTATCTCCTCAGGATTTTTTATCAGGTAGGTGCAAAATTCTCATTTCACAATACAGACAAAAATTAGTCAAAATATTAGTCAATTTTGTGCAAATGGATTTTCAGATGGGTGCAAGCCTATTTCCAAAATCTCAGGGAGGTGCTGCGCCCACTTGCTTTAATGCTGGGGAGATCACTGCAATTCCTATTGGCTGGCATAAAAGAAACTCTGATGTGATCTGCTATTCCAAACACTTTTTTATGGTCTCTACCATTGACTCACATATTAGAAACCTTGACACATATTAGAAACCTTGACACATATTAGAAACCTTGACACATATTAGAAACCTTGACACATTAGAAACCTTGATATGTGAGCAATGATGACCTCTATTCCAAACACTTGGTCAAACCAAGGGGTGTTTTGATTAGACATGTATTTGATTTGAACCCCTCTCAATGTGAACACTATGTCACAATCCCCCATTGACTCACATATTAGAAACATTGAAATGTGAATATATATGAAAACTTTTAACATGGGTTTTACTGTATCTTTATTTCCACCCACAAGGGGTGTTCAGATTATACAGATTTTCTTATCTGAACACCTCTCAATGTGAACACTATCTCTATGTCACAATCCCCCATTGACTCACATATTAGAAACATTGAAATGTGAACATCTATTCTGAAACCTTTAGACAGATTAGATTGGTTTTACTGTATTTTTATCTCCACTCTAAACAATGAGGCAATTTTATCCCAGAGTAGTTTCAGAAAGGGAGATTGATTAGCTATTCATTGGTTTGTGTAGCTGTCCATCTGGCAGAACCATCAATCATAGGTTAGGATTGAAAACAACATCAAGTTTCCAATAGTTGATGGATCTCTTGCAGTATTTGCATTTCTGTATGTAATCAATACAGGGTGTCCTATTAATATAGAGCCAATTACATTAAAAAAATAATGATACAGGGTGTCCTATTGATATGGAGCCAATTACATGGACAGCATATAATACAGGGTGTCCATCTTGTAGAACCATCAATTATAGGTTAGGATTGAAAACAACATCAAGTTTCCAATAGATGATGGATCTCTTGCAGTATTTGCATTTCTTCATGTAATCAATACAGAGTGTTATATTAATATAGAGCCAATTACATTAACATCATATAATACAGGGTGTCCTATTAAAATAAAGCCAATTAGTTTGACAGCATATAATACAGGGTGTCCATCTTGTAGAACCATCAATCATAGGTTAGGATTAAAAATAACATCAACATACGGATGATGGATGTCTTGCAATGTTTGCATTTCTTCATGTAATCATACAGGGTGTCCTCTTAATATAGAGCCAATTACATTAACATCATATCATACAGGGTGTCCTATTAAAATAAAGCCAATTAGTAGGACAGCATATAATACAGGGTGTCCACCAAACAAAACGATTGATTATAGGTTAGGATTGAAAATAACATCAACATACGGATGATGGATGTCTTGCAACGTTTCCACTTCTTGATGTAATCATTACAGGGTGTCCTCTTAATATAGAGACAGTTACATGGATTGCATATAATAAAGAATGTCAAAAATACCCAAATTGTTTTTCACATGGAACTTATTTTCTGTTATTGATTATGTTAGAGAAAAAAATCACTTATAGATTAAATGAATATTGTAAATAATACAGAGTGTCCCAAAAATGATGATCCGGGTAAAGGTTCAGTACAGGGTTTCCTGAGAAAGGAGTACCTGCTTGTATAGGTTAAAGATATTATAATGTGCCCAAATTTATAAAATGTATCCTAATATTGAACTATTCCTCTATTATTAAAGGATTACTGATAGTGTTCAATTGTGCATTTCAAACACTTATTGGATGTCATTGATTTCACTGTAGCTCCCTCTGGCGTAAAGACCCCAGTTTAAAATGCAACTGCAGGCCCGTAGCCTGACCCCCCCCCCCTTGGGAAATTCTGGCTACGGGCCTGAACTGGACACATAAAAAATTAAGAACATGAATGTAGGTCCAAGAAAAACATTTTTAAATATAATGAATAAAATGATATTTTTCTGATTTAGGACTGCCCATTCAGTATGGCGGACAGTGTTGGAACAGACAGATACAGTTGCTAAGCAACGACTAGAACATGCAGAAACAATCTTGCAAAGTATTCACGAACCTGTAAAACAAGTTAGGACCAATAAGGGACAACAGGCTAAGAAGGTGAGTACTATTAAGATATAAAGCACAGCGAGGCAATTATTTTTACATTTTTATTTCATTTTTGATTTTATCAAGAATAGGTAAATCAAACTGATTTAAGACTTTTTGGACAACCCTCGTATGTACACATATATATGTTGTAACAATAGCATGAATTTCCTTATTTAAAATGTCATAATTTGTTCTCCTGTTACAACTGTACAAAACTTGAATTACTCCCAAACTGTCAATGAAATGGTCAAATCTCAGACAGAGTATTCAAAGGAGGAACACCTTTCCCACAATTCAATTTTGAAATATACTCTTGGTATCCTTCTAGGTGTTCGATCAAGTTAAAGTCTTACAAAATGAAATCTCCCAAACTGTCAATGAAATGGTCAAATCTCAGACAGGGTACTCAAAGGAGGAACACCTTTCCCACAATTCAATTTTGAAATATACTCTTGGTATCCTTCTAGGTGTTTGATCAAGTTAAAGTCTTACAAAATGAAATCTCCCAAACTGTCAATGAAATGGTCAAATCTCAGACAGAGTATTCAAAGGAGGAACACCTTTCCCACAATTCAATTTTGATTTATACTCTTGGTATCCTTCTAGGTGTTTGATCAAGTGAAAGTCTTACAAAATGAAATCTCCCAAACTGTCAATGAAATGGTCAAATCTCAGACAGACTACTCAAAGGAGGAACACCTTTCCCACAATTCAATTTTGATTTATACTCTTGGTATCCTTCTAGGTGTTTGATCAAGTTAAAGTCTTACAAAATGAAATCTCCCAAACTGTCAATGAAATGGTCAAATCTCAGACAGACTACTCAAAGGAGGAACACCTTTCCCACAATTCAATTTTGATTTATACTGTTGGTATCCTTCTAGGTGTTTGATCAAGTTAAAGTCTTACAAAATGAAATCTCCCAAACTGTCAATGAAATGGTCAAATCTCAGACAGAGTATTCAAAGGAGGAACACCTAGCCCATGATGCAAGAGTGAAGGCTTCAGAAGCTGAACAGAAGTAAGTTTTAGAATTGAGTGCTTTCATTTCTGATGTTTGTATTCTTCAATACTTACACAAGTAATATGTATTACTATATCATTGCTTGAAACCGTGTGATTTGATTGGCTGATTCAGTACCATGTGATCAAAAATATCATCAATTTCAGCAATATCAGCAATTTCACAGCTCCCTGAGTTATTAAAATATAAAAGACGCATTGCCCGGCAATTACATTTTCTTTAATATAACTCATTCCTAGAAAGTTAGGAACTTGCTCCAATATCTGATTCCAGTAATACAAATGAATATTTACAAAGAAGTAATGTCTTACTTAAAGTGTATGTTGTAAATAGTTACAAATGAAATGAAACCCCTAAAATCCATATTAACCCGATTTCAGGTTAAAGAAGAGATCTATTGGATTATTTTCCTCAATGGCTTCCCTACAGAAAAACACAGCAAAGGTATTGTAATGTAAATTTATTAAATCCATGATGTTTTAAATAATGATTTTTTTAGGACTCCTTCACTGATTTCAATAGCTCGAGTTAATGTTTCTAATTTGAACCTCAATGAGGTTTTGCACGGTTCTTAGGACTTCATCAGTACTTTCCAATTTGAAAACTGTATGGTTCACAGTGATTGTAAAATCATTCACTGCTACCTGCAGTTGATAAACTTAACCAATGATAGCTAAAATTGGAATAGCAATGAATGCATCATTTCATAGACAATAAATGAGCTTGGCCATAGGAAAACCAGTCTTATCACAAAAATTTAAATTGTGCTACAGAGCCAAAAATGTGCCCAAGATTAAGATGAAAATGTGCTAAATTCAAATCCGACTTTTTGGTCTGTATATGCAAGGGAAAATTGTTAAGACACAAGCCATGGCTCAATTGAAAGGTATTTTTGTGCTTTTTAAGATAAACAAAAAATCAGAATTTTGAAAAAATTGTGATAAGACCCCTTTTCCCGTGGCCTGGCTCAAATATATAAGATGGCTAACATTTATCTTACTCGAGCATTGATTTTACTCCAGTTGACTGCCAGAAAAGATGCATGTGAGGTGAAATCCACCAGTGCCAGAAATGACTACCTGTTAAACATGGCTGCTGCTAATGCCCAGCATATCAGACACAGCAGTACAGACCTTCCAGAGCTTATACAGGTATGTATATATAAGGGGGGGGGGGTAGCTAATGCCCAGCATATCAGACACAGCAGTACAGACCTTCCAGAGCTTATACAGGTATGTATATATAAGGGGGGGGGGGGAGTAGCTAATGCCCAGCATATCAGACCCAGCAGTACAGACTTTCCAGAGCTTATACAGGTATGTATATATAAGGGGGGGGGGGGAGTAGCTAATGCCCAGCATATCAGACCCAGCAGTACAGACCTTCCAGAGCTTATACAGGTATGTATATATAAGGGGGGGGGGGAGTAGCTAATGCCCAGCATATCAGACCCAGCAGTACAGACTTTCCAGAGCTTATACAGGTATGTATATATAAGGGGGGGGGGAGTAGCTAATGCCCAGCATATCAGACACAGCAGTACAGACCTTCCAGAGCTTATACAGGTATGTATATATAAGGGGGGGGGGAGTAGCTAATGCCCAGCATATCAGAAACAGCAGAACAGACTTTCCAGAGCTTATACAGGTATGTATATATAAGGGGGGGGAGTAGCTAATGCCCAGCATATCAGACACAGCAGTACAGACTTTCCAGAGCTTATACAGGTATGTATATATAAGGGGGGGGGGGAGTAGCTAATGCCCAGCATATCAGACACAGCAGTACAGACCTTCCAGAGCTTATACAGGTATGTATATATAAGGGGGGGGGGGGAGTAGCTAATGCCCAGCATATCAGACCCAGCAGTACAGACTTTCCAGAGCTTATACAGGTATGTATATATAAGGGGGAGTAGCAACATGTAATGCCCAGCATATCAGACACAGCAGTACAGACCTTCCAGAGCTTATACAGGTATGCATATATAAGGGGGAGTAGCTAATGCCCAGTATATCAGACATAGCAGTACAGACCTTCCAGAGCTTATACAGGTATATAAGTGTGGTGCGTGGGGGGGGGGGCAGTAAGGCTAAAAAGGGATGAGGCACAACTAAAGCCAAGAAGAGCACATGCACATATGTATATGACAGTATGAGATCATTTTCAATGTCTGTATGTAACAGTGGCAAAAATGACATTTGGGTGGAGAATTTGCCTTGCCCACCTCATTGCTTGTTATGTCAACTGAACTGTGAGAATTTAGAGGGTTGGAGTATTAAAAAACACAGGTTGTTGCAGAAATAGTTATTGGAACCTTTACAGGGTGTTGCAGAGTTGGTATTCTAAGCATTAACACATAGGATAGTAAGCGTGGTCTATCAATTTACAGGGTGAAACATAAATATAAAGAAAACAATTCAATGGTAATAGACATACCTGGAATACATGTTTGCACACACATCAGTCAATTAACTTGTACATATTAATTGTTGCAATAAAGATATAAAACTGAGGATTTTGTTGCAATAAAGATATAAAACTGAGGATTTCGAAAGATAAAGCAAAGATTCTATATTTTGTGTCTTGTATTTGTTTTTTATAGAATTTAGATGGTGAAACGTTCGACAGAATACGAGACTACTTCTTAGTGCTGGGAACGCTAGAAGTTCAAAGTTGTGGAGTCACACAGGAATGTTTCAGTAGAGTCTTACTAGAGTCAGGCATGGTACGTTACATGTTTAAACTTTCCAATACACGTCAAACTGGACCTGATCTGAAGATGATCTCTATATCTCACTTAATAGACATTTCTGATCGATATTCATAGCTACTTTTTCCCCATCATTGAGTGAGTTCAAGTTTTGGGCCTCATGTTTTTTTAATATAAACATGTTTACTTTCTCGAATGAAGTGCCCCTTTCTTTATACTGACTATGTTTGCAGGGGTTTCACTAGAATTTCTCACAACAGGCTAAATTAATGAAAACAACAGGCAAAATCAATGAAAATCATGGAAAAGTTGAAAAGTCCCTCAAAACAACAGGCAATTTTGTGAAAACAAACTGGTGAAAATTGCCTGCTGCCTGCTGCTAACGAAACCCCTCTTCTGCCAGTATGCATCCTTCTAAGCAGGCGTCCAGAATCAATACAGTACCTCCTTCTTCCCCCTGCTATAACAAATTTGGAAGCGCCCGATTTAACTGAGTCACGTTTAATTATGCGCAATGACGTATACATGATTTCTGTCCCAGTGTTGCGACAGCCAATCAGATTGCGAGTTCTTAATCAGGGAAATGCTAACTGCCTAACGCAGGGGTAAAAAGAAAGAATATATTCTGGATTTTGAAGCACTGTGATCGGAGGATGCCAGTATGATACAGAGTCTGAATGGGTGCATTGTCTACTTGTTCAGTAATTTTTTTCCTAATAAGTCCAACAACAAAAAGTACACTGGTATCTGATTTATGTTGACATGAGTGATGACTTTTATTTTCAGATAAGCCAAACATACAACCTACAGTGTTTCCTCCACAATAATTTTGTGTTCACAAATCTAGTGCAATATAAGTTTGAACCATGTGATAATGATCAGGTAATAATGAATTCCTAATTCTAGTGCAATATGAATTAATCATGTGATAAATCTAGTGCAATATAAGTTTGAACCATCTGATAATGATCAGGTAATAATGAATTCCTAATTCTAGTGCAATATTAGTTAATTAAAATTCCTAAATCTAGTGCAATATGAATTAATCATGTGATAAATCTAGTGCAATATAAGTTTGAACCATGTGATAATGATCAGGTAATAATGAATTCCTAATTCTAGTGCAATACTAGTTAATTATAATTCTTAAATCTAGTGCAATATGAATTTAATCATGTGATAAATCTAGTGCAATATAGGTTTGAACCATGTGATAATGATCAGGTAATAATGAATTCCTAATTCTAGTGCAATATTAGTTAATTGTAATTCCTAAATCTAGTGCAATATGAATTAATCATGTGATAAATCTAGTGCAATATAAGTTTGAACCATGTGATAATGATCAGGTAATAATGAATTCCTAATTCTAGTGCAATATTAGTTAATTAAAATTCCTAAATCTAGTGCAATATGAATTAATCATGTGATAAATCTAGTGCAATATAAGTTTGAACCATCTGATAATGATCAGGTAATAATGAATTCCTAATTCTAGTGCAATATTAGTTAATTAAAATTCCTAAATCTAGTGCAATATGAATTAATCATGTGATAAATCTAGTGCAATATAAGTTTGAACCATCTGATAATGATCAGGTAATAATGAATTCCTAATTTTAGTGCAATATTAGTTAATTAAAATTCCTAAATCTAGTGCAATATGAATTAATCATGTGATAAACCTAGTGCAATATAAGTTTGAACCATGTGATAATGATCAGGTTATAATGAATTCCTAATTCTAGTGCAATATTAGTTAATTATAATTCCTAAATCTAGTGCAATAGGTATTCAATCATGTGATAAATCGTGTGCAATATAAGTTCAAACCATGTGATAATGATCAGTTTTGATTTGAAGAAATTGGCAGTGAAAGTCAAGCAATGGACTAAGAGTGTCACTATTGAGTCTGTTTCTAGGTAACAGGAATATCCTCTGATTTTTGTTGTTCCATTGCTAGGTAACAGGAATATCCACTGTTCATTGTTATCATGAATATCCACTGTTTATTGTTATTATGTTGCTAGGTAACATGAATATCCACTGTTTATTGTTATTATGTTGCTAGGTAACAGGAATTTCCACTGATCACAATGCAAGAGAGCAGGTAGAATCTGAGGCCAAGAAATGGGCAACCAAGGTCGCTAAGGAATCCAAGGCAATAAGAGATTACACTCGCAAATATAACGCATTACAAGCTTCTATCAACAATTCTGGCAATAAAAAGGTGAGATTTCTACAAACTCTGAAATGATGATAACCACAAGAGATTTTTCAGGCCAGCTAATATTAAATTATGATTTAATAGCTCTTAGAGACCTCTTAACAGTGTGATACTGTGATACTTAAGTACCAATTTTCATTATATTTCATTATAGAGGGCGCCTTCAGAATCATCATCTGGAGATGGTAAGGAGAAGGACAAGAATGAAGTTGATCCTGAGACTCGTTTAGAGGAACTAAAACAATACATACGCAGAGCTGAGGTATGCAAATATGAGATTTTGATTTCTGCTTATTTCATTTATATTTTACATATACAAAAAATATAGTTGCTATGGTTTTGCAATATAGAGGCAGCTTTATAAAGTTGCATATAAATCACAAAAGAGAATGCAATTAAAAAGCTTAAAGGTACAACATTTGAAAATGGTGAAAATTTTAAAAGCTTTCTTTGGGTCAAAGTACTTTTGCAAACAAACTTATTTTACCTGTTCATTCTCCAATTTAGTGAATCTTCTATCACCAAATAATAAAAACTGATTTAATTTCATCTGAATTCAGGTCTTGGAAAATCTCCACAAATGGAACATTAATTATTTAGAAGTACCAAAAGGCATTGCATTTACAGTACAAAATATAAGGAAATTAGTACAAATTTTCTCAGGATTCCAAATCTAAAATCAGAATTGAAACTTCTGGCTTAGGATCTATGGCCTTTTGAAATCTCAAAATAACGTTAAAGTTACCTGTAATAGCGAACCAATTTTTGATTATACTCTTACCATTACTGAGCCTCCTCAGGTACCTACTATTTATCTATTTAACACAAATTCTACAAATTATCCATTCTGTTAACTGCTACAAAACTCAATAAGTTTTGGGCTATGGGTGTTTTCTGAGCGCTTTCAGATGAATACCCATGTAATTAATTTATTTTTTGCCATTTTTATTTCAGACAGCCAGGATGAAGGCAGAGGGAAGGTTAGATTTACTCAGGATAGCGGGAAGTAAGTCTGAAACTCTTGAAAGGTCTCTTAACAATAAATGAATAAATAAATAGATAATATTAACAAAATTAACAATAAATAGATAAAGAAAAATAAACAATAGAAAGATACAAACAAACAGGCAATTATAATTGATGGAATAAAAAGCAAGTGTCTGATGAGCCTACTAATAATGCACATGTACACGTACGATGTTATTAGTGCACCCTTAAACATGTAAATTGTGATCACTAATCCCTATTTTGTATAGTATTGGATGATTATATTAACAATATTATGTTTAATGAACGTATATTTCAGTTAATGTTGATGAATGGTTAAGTGTTGCCCAAGCGGATCATGAATCACATGCAGATGACCTCGATGAAGATGTTACTAGCAGACATTCTATGCACTCACAGCACAGTTCGGGAGGGGTGAGTTAGATTACCCAACCTTGTTAGGGAAACATACTCTTTAAAGTATGAATAAGGAGAAAATGAAAAGGGTATCTTGAATTTTCATATGTTTTAGTCATAGGTATTTGACCATGTAAGTTCTTAACAGAATTGGATTTGTAAAGTTATTGAAATGTAAAATATATTCAATAGTGTCTAAACGGAGTAATCATAAACAGAGTAATTTTTTCGTATCATCCGAGAACATGCATGGGACATCAAAAGAATGGAATTAAAATTGTTCTGCAAAAAAGAGGTGTTTCAGTCATCAATGTTTAAAGATATAATTATTACATTTTCAAGAATTTTGGATCATTCGATTCATTGAATGGAAGACCCCAAATTGGGAATATTTAACCCACATAACTGGAAACTACTATGAATTCACTTAAATCACTAAATTCCATTCTGTTGCAGAGTGCTGAAGACCACTCTTCAACCCCAACTAAAATATCACAACCAGCCGCAGACATCAGTTACCATAACTACCAGGAGGATGATCTAGAATACATAGACGATACCTATGCAGGAGAGTCAACGGGAACTACCCATAATGCCTACACAGGGAGTAGGTTGGGACAGGTGTATCCAGTTCAGTGTCTAGCTCTTTATGAATTCCAGGTATTTATCCATTCAAAACCCCAAGACTCAGGAACTTACATAAAAGTTCTAGGCTCTGAAGATGTTGAATTAAATACTGTAAATGTGTCTTATCTTATTCCAACGCCACTGGTATCAGCCAAAAGTTTTAGGATTGGCAGCTGTTCATTCTTTTAATGATTAAATGATTGTAAATGTAAATTACATAGTTGTTCATTGTTTCAGGGAAGCAATCAGGATGAGTTAACGTTTGCTGAAAATGAACAATTGGAACTTATTGCTGATGGGGATGGAGATGGCTGGGTAAAGGTGCGTGATTAGGCCATGCCTTAAATACTCAAATATTACCCAATTCTCTCCGAATATTTCATTGTGCAATTAAACCTGCACATGTGCAACACTCTTCATACTTGCCAGATACGTTTCTAGAAGATTTCGTTTTTTTAGAGAGGGTTCTTTTAAACTGTTTATAGATGTGTTGTTTATAGAGAGGTTTTCTAATATCATGGGCAGCTTGCTGTATTTGATTACATTTGATATACATTTTAAGCTGCACATTTTAAAGAGAACATTATCACGGTGTTATAGCATGACAGATACGACAAGGCAATTGACCAAATTATGCGGTAACGATAACAAAAAATGGCGGACGGGAAAGACAGCATGTCCTCTTTTTCGCCTGTAGGCAAGATTCACAGATAAGCTTTCCTTTTCAACTAGTTCCATTCGGTGATGCATATGTGAATGGTTTTAAAGATTGAGTTAAATCTGTCGTGTGGTCTACAAGAAGCAGAATATAAGCTGTAAACCTACCCAGCTGAGATTTCGAAGTTCATAATTTTTAGTCCTTTTTCGTGTTTTCTCAGTATATGTGCCTCAGAGCCACTAAAAATACTAACTGTACGTAAACTGTGCATAAACAAGCCATAAAATGACAAATGCAGAACAGAAATGTGGTAAATATTGTAGATAATAAGGTTTCAATCGCAAGGTCGTTAGACAGATACGTATGTATTGCATGCTTTTTTATGGACAGCAACGCATTGTATTAGTTTTACATTAGATGTTAGCGGACGGTTACATGCAAGTTCCTGTCAAGTCAAGGTCCCTAGATGGATAGCTCTCTATGTGTGAACTGCCTATATTTGTTTTCAGGACTCGCAAGAGACGCTCTTGCTTGAGCCTCTATAGGGCAAGGAAAAAATAGCGAAAGCCAATGAAAGTGAAAATGATTGTAATGAAGAGGCAAAGGAAGAAATTAGTAACAACGAACAGGCGACGGAAGAAAACAACTCCAAATTAATTGATGATGTCATAAGTGACATTAGACATTACCATTATTACAAATCATATTCAGCTGTTTATGTCACCATCTTCATAATAGTACAATAACGTCATTTCTGCGGGCAATATGAAATATTGGACCAAGGGCCGCAGGCCCAAGGTCCAATATTTCACTATTTTGCCCGCAGAAATGACGTTATTACCATTATTACCACCGTTAATGCCCAGGGCTGAAATAGCAAATTTGAAATAGAAAATCTTACGCACTGAACGATATCACTTTTCCCGGGAAACATAGCCGGGCGAATAATATCATTATTGCCCGACTAAAGTCATTAACGCCCGACACAATATTGCTCACGTCAATATAGCAATTTAAATGCCTTCTCAACTAGTACTAAAACCCCTAGAACAGGCCCTGCAAGGTGGTAATAATACGATTTCATCTATTATAGCTTACAAAACTCAAATCCGGTTGAAAAACATTTCAATTTTGGATCACAAGCGATATGAAATGATTCGGTTTTACATATATGAACGAGGTTCGCGTAACTGTCTATCAATTTTTGGCGTATCCGCAAATTCAAAATACATTATTATGGCTTGAGTAGAACATATTAAGTGGTTTACAATGCTTAATTGGCTTTGTATGATCGTATGTAGGTTACATTTATATACACCAAGGTTGTTGCGCAATGTAGAGCATGTCCTAACGAAGAAAAGAAACAAATTACTAAATTTTATGAAGTTTTGAATTTCAAACTCGACAGTTTTTCGCTTATTTCATGTTATCCATGGGCGTCGATTTGCAAAGACTACGTTCAAAATAAACATTACTGAATGCATCCCCGAATGCGACGCTTACATAAATCTTTCATGCTTTTATTGATACGCAGTAGTAGAACATAATGCACCTACCTTAGCTTTCTGTTTCATCGTGGCCATTTTATTGGATAAATCAGTGATCGTATACGACTAACCTCGTTTTCAGAGGTGGCGTATCTGTCATGCTATAACACCGTGATTATGTGTATTACTAAATACATATAAATATATGACAACTACCGGTACTTCCTTCCTCTCAATTGGATCTTCCAGGGACCCAATTCCAACTACATGTATTTTCCTTCTAACACTGTATTCAATCTGGCTAGTAATTACAAGAAAGGGGAGAATAAATCCATAGAGGACCATACTTCTTACATGCAAGAATTCTTGAAAATACATAGTGTAATGACCCCAGGGCGCCCCAGGGGAATGACTAACTAACGAGCATAGTGTAACAAGCCAGATAAAGAAATTGAAAGAAAGTGTGCTAAATTCAATGCCCCGTGTGGGAATCGAACCTAGGACCCTTGGACCCAAAGTCTGATGCTCTACCGACTGAGCTATAAAGACTTAAGCCTTTACAGCTGGGCTTGTGTAGCAACTTGCTATCAAGGGTTGTTACACTAGCTAAACCTCCATTACATCCATTATTCTAGGGACGTAACTCCAATGGAGTAGAAGGATTTATCCCTGAAAATTATGTCCAAATCCTGGATGGAAGTGTTTCTGAGGCAGTAATCCCTAACAATATAGACCACGCAACAGATCAGGCTAATTCTGCAACTGATGATGCCACATACTTGGCCAACAGTGTAGACCAACCCACCTCAATTTCTAGTCTTCAAAGTGGTCACCAGGGGGAGACAGCTCCTATCGCTATAGCAACAGATTTGTCTCAAGATGGCCGTGCATCTTATTCTTCCAATGATTACGAGGTGGAACAGGTCAATGATGGTCAACAAGTCGTAGATGGTAAATGGCATTCTTTTAACCATATCAATTGTTTTATAAACTACATGATATGTTTATTCAAAACCAATACATGTTTTGGGTTAAAATTATGATATCAATAAAAGAGTTAACTTTTGGAGCACTAAATTCATGAGATTTGATTAAATATTCTTAGTTTGCCCTCGAGCGATATATCATTTGTATGTATATTTTTGAACTATTTATCTGTATTTTTTACATACTCAATTTATTTCAGTAATAATATTATGACTTATATTCATATGAGTACATTATTATACATTATAGTTTGATTTCATATTTTTTAGACATCCAATATTATTTATCATTTACTATTTAATTTATTTATTGTGTCTTAGGTTTCCTTGACAAAGTTCCTATTTTGATGACCATATACAGAAATGAAGGTTTAAACATTTCATAATATTGTACACAGGGGTATAAAACAGTTGGCGTAATCTAATCTCTTTTGTAATGCTTGCCCACTGTTAAACACCCCTGTCTGCCTAATTTGCATTTTGCTCCTCGAAAATGAGAAAAATGGTTGGAAAATTAAATTAATTAATTTTGACTGTTATCATTTTTGACTGTTATCATTTTTAAAATAACAGAATGATTTAAATTATTTTGTATTGACCCATATGCAAACTAAAGGAGACTAATTAGTGATTGTTAGCACTTTGGAATTATTTAAATATCATTAGATGGCAGGCTCAGTGTTATTATATCACATAGATGCTTGCATTTGAATTATGAATAAATGTGTGATTTAACAAGAAGCATGTACAAAACAGCAAATTACAATTAATATTATGTTATTTTGGATATATACTATCTGACTCATACCTTGTTGATGTTAACAAATTCTGAGCTAATTGTGGTGACTATATTTTGGTAAGGAATACTCTATTGCATGGACTCTTGAATATATGAGTAATCTTTAGTTAAGTTGTTGATTTTGGACTTTGTGGTTCATAGTTAGTAATTATAATAATGATTAATGATGATTTTTATGTTTTTCTACTCACTCGTGTTGGAAAAAATTATTTCTCCTAAAACGATCACCGATTTCATGATTCAATATAGCCATGGAGTATTTTAACTCCAAAAATAAATTAACTTTTCAAATATTCCAAACATATATTTTTCAATAACATGTGGTAGATCAAGTTATCTGTATTTACACATTTCAAAAGTAATGATTAAATTTAATTTCTTTCCTTTCAAGACAATATCCCCATATACATGTAAGATGTGTTTCTAAATTATCTAAACACATATACTCTAACAAACATAAAGTAATATAATTTCTTTCATCTCTAGATGGAATGTGGGCCAGAGCACTGTACGATTATGAAGCCTGTACCACAGAAGAACTCTCCTTCATTGAGGGCCAGCTTATCAAGGTGCTACGCAAAGAGGAGAAGGGGACAGATGATGGGTGGTGGAAAGGGGAGGTGGAGGGAAAAGTTGGAGTTTTTCCATCTCTTGTCGTTGAGGAAATCACAAATAATGATAATGACCAGGTTTGTGTTTATTTAAGGGGTCTTTCATCTTATACACTGTAAGTTTGAGTTTATTTAAGGGGTCATGTATCATATACACTGTGAACTCAGTTTTGCATGTCTATGTCACCAACATGAAGTAGTGATCATAACATACTGTTGACCTTCAAAATTGTAGTGACTGGTATTTAATTAAGATCTGTTTCTATGGCAACACATCAGAAGACTTAAAACACTTCTTTTCTTTGCTCATGTTCATTTATGAATACATTAGAGAATCAAAAGTTTTAAAGCAAGAAAACGTAATAGTGATAACTTCAGAAGTCATGGTGAGATTTACTTGAAACTCTTCAGAATTGAAATAATATTTTTTTGTTAACATAGTAACCATAATTTACTGGGTTATCACTCTCTAATAATCTGTGCAACCAGGGGTGACCTTTTGTCGTGTGAGTTGTTTAAAGGGTCTGATATGAATCAGAATGCATTTTTTGGTTTTTCGCTTCCTAAAAGGGTCCTGCATGAACTGCATATCTCACTTGGCTCCAGTTTGTGTATTTGTTTTTACCAAATAAACACTGGACCCAAGTTTTATACCATATTATAAATTGTAAAGTATATTATAAGTTATTGAATGATTTGAAGTGCAATACAGGATATATTCTATTCGAGAAATTTTGTATTGGAACGAGACGAAGTCGAGTGCCAATACAGAATATCGAGACAGAATATATCCTGTATTGCACTTCAAATTATTCAATAACGTTTTTATCATGTGATCCTCTGTATTGCTACTGAGATTGTCCCCGCCGTACCAATATTTTCTGTATTGCGACGGAGATGATCAACGGGGACAACCTCAGTAGCAATACAGATTGGTACATCACAAGAACTGACCAATCAGAGGGCTTCATTTTAGAGATCATGCGATAATATTTGATATGCAGGTTTTTATAGGCACTGTCTGCAAGCCAGGCAGAATTATAAATGTTTAAATCAAAAGAACAATTATTACTATTTAATAGTGTATTTCTTTGCTTGAAACCATTTTTAATTGTTTTAAATTTATTTCAACATTTTATAAGATAACAATATACAAATCCATTTCATGAGACATTTTAGGCATACATTGTTTATTATTACAAATCACAGTGGAACATAAACCATGGTTTATAACTCTGTTCTAAATATACAATGACTTTTGTTGATCATTCCATATGAAGAGTTAACAGTTTCTACTATACTACAATATTCTACTGCAACAAAGTTACTACTGCACTCTAAGTTACTTCAGTAACCCATATGAAATTGCCGCTTTTTGTCATATCGTCATGTCTTGCTCAAAATGATTTTAACTGAAGGACACTCTGTAACCTTGATGGTGAAGTATAATAACTTAGATTAAGTGATAAAATATCCCCTAATAATTGCAATCTATCTTTAGGAATTGCACTCGCCAGAAGGAACTTGTCCCCCGAATTTTGCACCCCCACCCCCAGCTATGGCACCCCCAGGGCTGACCCCTACATATGCCCCAGAGGATGTCTCACAACCCTCAAATGAAGCCATTACCCGTCAAACAGGTAAGAATTTATTTTAAGATGTTGAAATTGTTTTATTGTATCTTGGAACATCTTGATGGTGACCGTTAGAAAATGGTGTTGAAATGTTGTTTTACCTTATCCTGAATTTTTTAAAACCTGAACCCTCCTTGGCAAAAGCTGGCTACTAGCATGAACGCCCTTACAGGGCAACATTACCTAGCCATGTCTCGTCTTATTCTGAATTAAACCTCTGATTTGAAAGCAGTGTTCAGTGTATTACAGCACTGTAACCCAAGTCACATACATGTAAATCTCATGTGAATACCAGTAGAGTACATACACTTATTCAACAATAACTTATGTAAATGTATTTTTTTATATTACAATACATGCATTTTTGATATTTATGATACACATAAATTGTATGTATATACAGAATGAAAAATAAAGCAATAATATACAAGCATTCCCCAGAAATTTTATAAAATCATTGTACAATGTCTCCTAGATATCTTGACAGCAGCTGACACATAACTGACTATATAAATACAGTAAAACTTGTGTATAGTGAACATTTTTTTGCCAAGAAAAAACGTTCACTGTAGGTAGGTGTTCACTAGAGAGAGGGTAATTTATACAGAAGTCAGTGGACTATGTGCGTAGGAAGAGTGTCCACTAGGGACAGGTGTTCACTAGAGAGAGGTGTTCACTAAGACAGCTTTTACTGTAACTGAGTAAAAAATGAGATCACATCATGTTTCTAAAGCATACACTTACAATGCTATGTTGATATGTAGAGTTATAAATAAAATGTATATTATGAACATATTATTCTGTATTGCCACACGAACACTGTCATACAAAGTACAGGATCAGACTTGTCATTACTATGTACAACAAGCAATGTTTTGTCCTGTTTTTGATTATGATACACATCAATTTTAGTTAGGCTGAGAGGTTAAACCTTGTGCCTAGTTATTTTGCATGTGCATATACATGTAGTTATCTGTAGCAGACAAAAGTCTCCTGAAGTGAATCCTCGATTATAATACTGCAACTTAATGATTAAGAAGACACATAATGAAACTATGTAGGGCACTGATGCGAATCATTGGTGGAGTCCATTCCAGCTCGGTGGGACTTGGGTCTCACCCGTCAGGAACTTGCCATGTGGTCTACAAACTGCTTGGTTCAGCTATTGACAGTGTCTTTTACATCCTCATTCAGGTGTGATCTGTTTTGGTTGTGTGTCGGAACATAAATTGTCCTTGATGGTGTCATATGAATGTGGCAGTTCCGAAGGATATGAACCAGGAGTTGCATAGAGCTTACCTGAAATAAAATGTTCATATGCACTTCTTAGGTGATTTATGGCTTCATGTATTAATGTTGATCTTATAATAGTGCCAAGGAACAAGTCTTGATTCTGTTTCATGCTTAGTTTTTTTGTGTATATTTTGCAAAAAGAAAATCAACAATAGTTTGTGAAGTGATTCAGAATTTGGATTTTTATTTCCAATTGATATCAAAAGCACTCACCTGGATTTGGTGCTTGGACCTGCTTCCCTCTAACAGTAGCTGCTGTGCTGAATTGTTTATGATGTTCATCCAACCTGTCCTTAGTTGCAGGATCAGCAAAAGCTTCCATATTTCTCTCTCCCTCTTGATTGTCGACCTTGATTTCCATTAACTCTTGACCCTCTGGTATATTGTCCTTGTTCTCAATAACTGTGTTTCCATAGTGATTAGAGTATGTGTTGAACATGCGCTTGAGGCATTTCCTTCCACATTTGTACAGAATAAATCCAAATATTGCAATAATTATGATAAAGGAGAGCACTGGTACACCAATTAGTAAAAGATAGTTTGGTGATTCTGGTGAATGAGTCATTGTTTTTTGTGTAGTTATCATCGTTGTGAACCATGTTGGTGTAAGTGTGGATGTTTGTGGTAGTTTTGTGGTCGTAGCAGTCAAACATGTAACATATTCTGGAAATTAAATAAGAAACATATGTTTGCGCTAGTGCCAAAAGGATTGGACCAAAACTTGTTACAGAACACTACAGTGAAAGGAAAACATCTTAGAGTAACACAAATCAGAAGGAAAACAAACAACATCAAAACTACTGGTAGATACTAGACATGGCAATCATATAAGACAGATCATTCAGTCTCAAATGATGTGGGACGGACAAAATCCAATCTCAAAGTCCATAAGCTTATCAAAGGGTCAACATCCATTCATACACACACACACTGTTATTATTACCACCTTGCCGGGCCAGTTCTAGGGGTTTTAGTGCTAGTTTAGAAGGCATAATATATCGACATGAGCAATATGTGACGTCATAGTGGTGGTCCATATTGCCCATAATTTTCTCCGGGAAATTAGATATCGTTCAGTGCGTAAGATTTTCTTGCTGTTTCTGTCTATGTCATTAACGGTGGTAATAATACTAATAACGTCATTTCTGCGGGCAATATAGTGAAATATTGGACTCGGTTCAATATTTCACTACATTGCCCTTCGAAATGACGTTATTGTAATATAAATGTTAAAGCTTGTATTTCTTAAGAAATACCTTATGTCTATAATTCTTCCCTCTATCACAAAAATCAAGTATAAGTCGATGATCAAATATAAAGTTATTCAAAAAGTTACACAATGGTTTAATTGATTGCTTCGTTATTAAAGATTTTGACATTAAAGCTCTGTAACAAGGCATTTATGATATTAAACAGGCAAAAAATCAATTTTGAGAATCTTTTTATAAAAATTGTAATTTAAACCCCAGAATTTTAATGATGCAAATTAATTAACAAATATCCTACCTGAGCATTTAGTCCTAGTTTCAAGATTGTCCCAGCAAAGGTCTTTATAATTTGAGTTTATCCATGGGACACACACATCGCTACAGAATGTGTGGTATCTTGGATTGTGTCCTAATCGATAGAACTTTATGTTATATTTTCCACAATCGGAGGATACCATCTGAAATGATCAACTGTGTGTGATTTATCAATTTTTATGTTGTTCGTTGATCTCGTATTTTGTATGTACATTTATTTTGCTTTAGTGCCTGATCTATCTTTTATAGATTTTATATTTTAAGCATATTTTAAAATACAAATACATGCTATAATTGCAAACAAATAAAGTCAACTCATTGGGTTATGTATGAATACATTTATGTTACCTCTAATAAACAGACAAAAAGAAAACAAGCCAGCTGCCATTCCATCCTAATCTAAGAGTTTTTCCTTGTATGTATGTGTAGTGGGTGGCTGAAAGTACTGATCTTGAGTAGATGTATTATTTAATCTGGAAGAAAAAATAAAAGTTTTATAGAGCATCCACAAATAAAACTACCTGCACTGTTTTATATTGCTGAACACTGTTTTCAATTCATTTTCTACCAAATTATAAATGTATAACTAGGAGGAGAAAGAATAAAGAAAAATTAACCATGTTTTATCCTAAATATTTGGGTTTGTTTTCCAGGTTCCGTCTATCCCCAACAGCCCCATGCTAAAATGCTTAAGCTTCATGGCCATCAAAATGGCAATACTCATTATTTCAAACTTGAATCCACAGTTTGATATACAATTTTTATAACTAACTTTTGAAACTAATGCATGAAATTCATGCCTTCCTTTCTTGACTCTTGAATGATTTGGATGTCATCTAAAATTACACGTATATCCATTATCCAGATTGATATTGTTTCTTTCATTATCATTTAGAGTGTGTTTCATTCTTACTAACATTCCTTAGATTTTAGTTAATATTAATTCATTTTTCTTCCTTTGTATGTCAGGAAATATTGTAAATTACTCACAATCTGTATAATCAATGAATTTAAACATTATACAAGTTCAATTAAGTTGTATACATTCTCTGAGGTTGTTGTTCATGAACAACTAGCAGAGTTTATATCTAGTTTAATATGTAAATATTATGCTTGTGGGAAATGAATTGCATAATACATATAGATGACTATTTTATAAAGCATGGAAAAATTTAACAGGAACAATTTAACATGTTCTTCAAAAGGTGCTTTAACCATTGGTGCTTATTCTAAAATGGGTGCTATTATAAACAATTTATAACTTATTAAAGCAACCTCTCCCCTGTATGTATTGCCTGATACTTTTCAGACTTCTCTTTAAAAACCTTTTCTGAATCATTGCTTGTGTGTCGGGTTGCATGTAACCTGGGTATGGGATCTTTTTAACTATCTTTGGCTTGCTTCCTGCTTACCTTTCCTGTCACTAGAGGGAGCAAGTGACACTGGAGATGAACCAATGAAAGTTGATGTTGAGCAACCAAATGAAGACCTTCCAATGGATGGTGAAGAAGCAGCCGAGAATGTCAATGTTGTTGCTTCTGGAGAAGAGAAAAACGTTGATGATGCTGATGAGATTGTGAAGGAAAGTGAAGATGTTAAGGAAGAAGAAAAGGATGAAGGCATTAAGGAAGATGATGTTAAAGTTGAGGTTCAGGAACAACCAGCTGAAGGTACTAGCAATCTATGCTAAGAAATTACCATCCATTCTCTTTTTTAGCAATGTAACATTGACCTGAAATATTTTTTTTTAAATGGGGCTTAGGTTCAACTTTCCATTTGTATTATTTTGTTTTTTACTTTATGGTGGTGACTTAAAATGGTGAGGGATTACCTTATTTTCAATATCATCATTGTAATCTGTTCTTTGGATGAGTGGCAATGACGACCTGTACATGTATTAGGGAATTAACAATTGTTTTAAGAATGTGAACATGTAAAATCAGGTTTCCATTTAGAAGCATTTACATGTCATATTGATAATGAAGGCATTAAAAAAATTGTAACCGATTGAGAGATGAACAATGATTCATCATTGGTCATAATATCACATGTTCACGTTCCAGTCTCTCAAATATGTAATCTTAAGCTCTTTAATATGGCCTGTTTTTTCTTTTTCTAGGTGGAGGTATACCAGGAATAGTGAAGACAAACAGTGTCGAGGTAATTAAATATTGTTATTAATGTTAATATAATCAATCAATTATTCAATTGAATAAAGTTACATTTTAGCATGTTGTTTTAATCTAATTTGAGACAATACACTCGTAGGATTAAATATTTATTTGTTAAAACAAAAAGGTACACATAATTATTTTATTTCATGATTATAAACATGTGTGATTTGCAATTGCATACAAAGTGAGAAGGATGGGTAAGAAAGCATGAAGAAGAAAGAATTGTCATTTAGTTGGCTTTTGTTGAATAAAACATATGAGCTCATAATGGCCTATGAAATTACATTGTTATATTGGGTCATATTGCATTTAATGGAGAATAACATGTAGCTTATAATGTCCATATTTCTGAATGTTATTTATTAACTTTATCAAAAATGTCAAAACATTTTTCTTGAAACATTTCTTTATAATTTCACTGATATGGCTCTAACTTTGGCAATCTCTGTTAAACATTCACAGATTTCAAAAAATGTGTCATGGGTAATCATTAATGTCACAATGAACAATGTACATGCATGCACTTTACAGTATTTTACATGTGTTTATTTCATTTATACTGCATGAACTAACAATTTTATGCATACTTTGGACTTTTTTATCACCTGAGAGGTTGAGGCAAATAAAAATGTTCAAAATATTAACTGTGATCTTTAACACTCAAAGGAGTTATGGATATGCTAAAATGACATTCAGATGCTTTAGTGTCAGCATGGAATTTATGATTATGTCTAGGTCTAGTTGTGGAATATAAAGTTTCTGTAGTGTCCTACATAATCATAGGATACATATACACTGTAGGTGCTTTTAAAGCTCGTTCTTTATGGAATTTATGATTATGTCTAAGTCTAGTTGTGGAATATAAAGTTTCTGTAGTGTCCTACATAATCATAGGATACATATACACTGTAGGTGCTTTTAAAGCTTGTTCTTTATGGAATTTATGATTATGTCTAGGTCTAGTTGTGGATTTAAAGTTTTTGTAGTGTCCTACATAATCATAGGATACATATACACTGTAGGTGCTTTTAAAGCTCGTTCTTTATGGAATTTATGATTATGTCTAAGTCTAGTTGTGGAATATAAAGTTTCTGTAGTGTCCTACATAATCATAGGATACATATACACTGTAGGTGCTTTTAAAGCTCGTTCTTTATGGAATTTATAATTATGTCTAGGTCTAGTATTGGAATATAAAGTTTCTGTAGTGTCCTACATAATCATAGGATACATATACACTGTAGGTGCTTTTTAAAGCTCATTCTTTATGGGTATAATACTACATGTAACCATCATGATAGCATGAGTTTACTTAGCAGTGTCATACATGGGTACTAACCAGACCTAAATATACCAAGTAAGCATGAGGATTCACATTGAACTGAACCTACTACCAAGCTTGCTAATACATATAGCACTGTGCCTTAGCCATGATAGGGCCATAGCAATCTTCAACTGTTTATGAATGAATGCTAATGGTATGTTTAGGTTTGGTCACTACTTGTGATTATTTTCTTATACTTTAACATATGATGAAATTATTGATTTTTCTTTTCAGGATCCATTCCTGCTTTTAGACACAACTCGCAGATGTAGCAATGACAGTAACAATTTGACTGCCACTAACATATCTCCCATCAACATAGTCGTCAGTTACATTGAAGATGATGAAGATAAATGCAATGCTAATGAATCTCTTATATAAAACAATTTACAAGGTGGAAAAAATATAAGTACATTGTACATGTAAGGACAATTATATCTTGAAATAAGTAGGACAATAAGGTGTTCAGTTTTTGGAACATATACGTGTAGACCCTCAAGAGGTATTTGAAATACCAAATGAATTGATGTAATGCTACAAGTTATTGATGAATAAAACAATTCATGTTGTAGAAAATATAAATAAGGATGTACTTATCTCTTGAAATAAGTACAGTATGGGCAATAAGGACATGATTGAGGTGTTCAGCTTTTGGAACATATACGTGTAGACCCTCAAGGGGTATTTGAAATGCCAAATGAATTGATGCATTGAATTATTTATAGATGCCAAGTGTTCAAGTTTTGGAACATGACTTTATATGGTCAGATCAGTATTTGAATTGCTGAATGCGAAATGAATGGACATAATACTACAAGTTATTCATGAAAGTAAAGTGTTTGGAAATTATATGGGGAATAGAGTATTTGAATGGACATAATATTACAAGTTATTCATGAAAGTAAAGTGTTTGAGAAATTATATGGGAAATAGAGTATTTGAAATTCTGAATGAATAGACACAATACTACAAATTATTCATGGATATCAAAGTGTTCAAAATTTAGAACATGAAATTATAAGGGCAAAATAATATTTGAAGTGCTGAATGAACAATCACGATACCACGACTTCTTCAATGATTGGAGTAATAATTCCCACTGGAGAATTTAATGGATGGTATCTTAAGATGGATTGCTGAAGCAAATCCAGTAGAGATTATAGTCGTCAAAACCATACAAAATTTTAATTTAGGAGTTGTAGTTTTGTCTAAGATACATGTGATTACATATAATATGTTTAATCCAAACCCTAGATTGTGCATAACAAGTAAATGAGCAAATAAATAGTGATTATGAATTATATACAAATGAAATGTGATAATATTAGAAAAATGATATAATTTCTGTTTAAAAAATGTTTGGATTTAGTGGAATACAAAAATTCATGTGTGTGAGAGCAGTATCAGATAAAATGCTGCATCTGGCTATAGGAGCAACATATCTACACACTTATGTACACTAAGAACCATTATATACCTGTACATGAACACATATTACTCTGGGATCATTAATTTGTTCTATTGATATAGGACTCAAAAATAACAATGTGGATTCATAAAGATGTCAGGCAATCAATATTGAATGTAAGTACTGCATTTGTGTGAATTATTTTCAGCTTTCTTTCACTCAAAACATTGTGCAATAAAACCTTTGTAATGGTACACCTCTATAAGTGGAATACCTTTGAAAGTGGAACACCTCTAAAGTTAAACACCTTTGTCAGTGGAACACCTTTCACAATCTTTCGACCTGTTGACCTTTTGTTAATAGTATTAGGTTCTATGAGTGGACCATATCAGTTAGTGAGACTTTTTAGCATAACCAAGAATGTTCGACTAACACGGGTTTTACTGTACATAAGGATGCAAATTGCGACAAAATAGATCATATCTCACATGTCTTAGATGGGAATCTAACAGCTGAAAGAAATATAGTTTTAGATTTTTACAATATGTCATATTCACTCAGTTTATTGTATATTTCATAAGCATACCATTTAGGAATTGTGCATTTAGGAATCCACTCCGATCATATACTTAGAATAAGTTACTTGCAGGGCATGCATTAACTCCGTCCCATACATGTTAAGGACACAAAAAAAATTTGGAGGACACATCCACAAAAACTGAAAATATTTCCGTTTTTAGAACACAGAAATTTTTTAGGTCAATACTGCAGCACTGGTTTTAACATGTGTCAGGTTGATGTTAAGTTTGGACACTAAATAACATTGTGAGAGTCAGCTTGAACTCTTATGTTTGGGAGAGTCAAAGAAAATCAGCTGACAGAATTAACTTGAAGGTAGCTTTTTGGTGAAAAATGCTTTTAAAATAAAGTTAACCTCAAAACAGGCTTGTAATGGAGAACACAGTTTTTTTTAAATTGCTTCCTTTGGGACTCACAAATTTTCTGACCTAATGCAAGCCCAGTTACTTGTTAATCAAATTAATTAGAATTAAAAAGAACAAAACAACCAGGGTGACTTATATTAGATAAGATAGTTATAGTTAATGGGAGTATATAGCTCAAGTAGAAAATATAACCCAAACATCAAAATTAAACATTTAACATTTTGTTTTAACATGTGCCTCTTTTGAACATTTTCCTTATGATCACTTTTCTTATGAACAAAAAGTTGTAAAAATATATATCACACTGGTTAACCCCTGCCCCTTATAACACGTTTATAAATGTTAAGTAACTTGTATTTTATTATGAAAGACACTCTTGTCAAAAAAATAATATAAAGCAATGGTGGAATGATGAGGCCTAATTATCAGAAATATAAAATCATGAAAAAAATATTTATACATACCAGCTTGTTTGATACCACCAAATATAGAACACCTAAATGTATGCTTTTGTGTTCTTATGTAAACTTTTATTCCCTTTAATTGAAACTTTCTTGATTTTTAAAAGACTTTGTCTAGTGTAATTGTATCACTGTTTCTTTGGGTTATACTGTTTATTTTGAGCATGTGTATCTATTTTTCAAAAGAAATCAGTGTGTTCTTGCTAAGAAATTAGCCAATCAAATTGCTATGTTATTTTTGGGCATTTCCATAACGTAAGCAAAATTACAGATAGGATAAAACTGTTACTAAATTCTAAACACTTTGAGTAAGATAATTGCATAAGTTATTATTTGTAGTTGAAATGAGTAAAGGTGTCTTCCTAGGTGGGTTACAAACTGATTATTGATTTATTTATCAATTATTGTACCTTACCATTGTGCTGAATGATTATCCATGGTTGGCACTTTTATTGAAATATGTAAACTGCTCTCTTGTTTTGGATAAATGCTCTCTTTAAAAAAAATATGACAAATTAGGATGTTTATCTCTGTATGCAATAAAACTGATATATAAACAAATATACAATGTATATTATATGAAGGAATTCCATAGGTCAGTGTGACCTGAACATGTTTATGATAAAATTATGTAGAGTTTACCTCTACTGTATACTTCTAATTGAAGTAAATAGTTCTCTGTGACATAGATCTTTGTGAATTATGAAGTACACATACATAACTGCTAGACTAGTTTGTGCCAAATTACATATACAGCAAAATCTTAATATGAACACCTCTCAAAGTACATGTATCAACATATCAAGAAACCTTGAAATGTAAAAAACAGCTGATCTGTAAACCTTTGACTGGTCCCTGTGGTATTTGGTTAATTGTTTACTGTCATGAATATACTAGTATTGATGTTATTCACTATTTTACATGTAAATTGTAACTGAAATTATTAAGTTTGATAAAATTATAATGATGGATGTATTTGAGTTAAGACAGGTTTTACTGTACCATTCTAAAGTAATTACTAATAAACTTATTAAGCATCCATAAAATTTAAAAGATTATATTTAATATTGTTTATTTAAAGATACAGGTTTTACTGTATGAACAGAGGTGTTCATTTGGATTTGGATTGCTCTAAGTTATTTGAATTGTTCACTGTATGGAATATACAAGTATTGATGTTATTCACTATTTTATATGTAAATTGTAACTGAAATTATTAAGTTTGATAAAAGTAAAATGATAGATGTATTTATTTACACAAGTAAGAATTAGAGGTTGCTATGATTTATATAGTATTTTATTTTATTACATCTGAGTTAAATTCAGTTGAAGTATTAACTACTTAGTGCGGACTGCTTCAGTTTGATTATTGGTTTTAGAAAATGTTTGTTTGAATTCATATATTTCACAAAATCTGTTTAATGCATTCACAACTGTGATATTTACAAACAGGTTGTTTTGGTTGCCTGTTTTTGATTACCATATTGATTATTGTACTATAATGTTTGTTTTGAATATCATTGATTGGTGTAGGTTTTGGCAATTCAGTCACTTTATTATGATTTATTTCAAAATTCAAAATTAACATTAAATTAACCATCTATTAAAAAAAATATATTAAAAATTGAGACTATCAGGCTTTAGCACTTGCTGTTTAGGACCAATAAATTTCTCAAATTGGGACCACAGGCCCGGGAAGATTTAGATCCCTCCCCCAGTCACTGTATTGCTAGTTTTCTAAGTAATACATAGGCCTAGTGAGTGGAGGGGGTGAACTCTTGTTCCCGTGTCTGTGATTGGAACTTTCATCATTCTGCAAGCAAAATCTTTTCAAGTGTTCATATTTTACTAAAGATAGCTAGAAACACAAACTAGACATTTCCAGACTGTTTAGTCAAAAATTAAATGAATTACCTTAACAACAGTTACAGTCACATCTGCCACATATGTCCTCAACTCTTGAAGTTCCTTTGTTCAGGTGATATAATGTGTTCCATAAGCTTCTTTGCTTAAGAATTATCACTGAAATGCAGTTGTCATATTATATACCTGCTATATAAAATAAATTGTATGATCACTGAATTGAGAGTATTGATATACTTAAATAATTTAGCACATTTTTATCCTGGATGGATGTTGTTTTAAAGATTGTATGTTATTTTTGAAACTGCTAAGAATATCTAGAAGGTTGAAATCCGTATACATCAGATCTAATAGCACCTACATGCCCATCATATTATATGCATTTGATAAATGTCAATCTATACTTACTAGTCATCATGGCATCACTGTCATCCTGACATCACTTTGTCTTCCTGACATCACTTTATCTTTACTTATGGTTTTATTGGTGGTCAATATATAAGGCATTGCTTATCTTATTTTTATATGCAAGCTTTTTTTAAATTCATTTGGAATGCTGAAGTCACATTGAAAATGCAAAATTGAATCCTATGCTAAGGGCTGATGTGAAAAAGTTTATCCCAGAAGTGACTTTAACTATCATAGTTTTGAATGCAAGGCTGAAAAGTGTCAAGACATCATCCTCATGTTTAGGGTATGTGGTGATATTTAAACATTTAACAGTACATGAACATACAATACCTTTAACAGTTTAAGGTCAAGACCCACTCTCAAAATTCAATGGAATAAAAATGTACAGATTTTTCCTGTTTGAAAATACTGATATGAAAATACGTTGCTGAATATAGCATTTTCTATTTGAGCAAAATATATTCTGTTTGTATTTTCACTCAGTTTCAGTTTCGAAACCAAGGGGAATCCCCGTTGTTTCCTCATGCGCCCACTGTACAGCTGTACAAGTGATAATTTTGCCTAACCATTTCATTTGCCTCTTGCCAAATTTTTGCCAGGTTCGGGAAATTAGATGTCGGAAATATTATATTTATAGTGTTATCCATTCGGAAGTTTCTTGTCATTAGGAAAATTAAAATTAGGAAAATGATAAAATTTGTCCATTCGGCAAATTAACCACTCAGATTAAATACCACTTTACAGTATTTCCTTAGTAAAACCAATTGATTGATCATACTTACATGTATGTTACATGTATCATCATTTCATCTCATCATTAAATGATTTGTTACCGAGAAAATGATACATTGGAGGTATAGCTAGGGTCCCAAATAGGCGAGGCAAATTTAAATAGTTGAGGCAAAAAATAAGTTAGGGAAATTTAAATTGGTGAGGCAAAACTTAAGCCAAAGAATTTATATTTCCATGGATCATGTTCACAGTTTAAAGTCTACAAAACATCATATCTTGTGTTAATGTTTGTTGAGGTGCACTTAACTGTTTTTTTCATACATAGTTGCGCTTATGTGTATAAAGTTATGGAACGATACATGATTTTCGTGGAATCGAGGTCATATTGACTTGATATGTATACAGTCGTCACCTATCTGTTTGTAATTAACATCCCCAGCGTTCAGGTAATATTTGTTGTCATGGCAACGAACTAAAAACGTAGATAGTTTTTCACTTTGTTGTATGTGTTGTCAGGTGGTGCCATTTGTTATGTAAAGCCCCTGTTTACAATGTTGTTGCAAATTGTAAATGTTATTGTATAGATTGTTTCATGCAAATATTGTTATTGTATATTATGAAATACAGCTGACACAAATAAAGTAGATAAATCATATCAATGCATATTGTTAAAGTTATTGCATTTATGCGTGACCGTGCCAGTGATCAGATTTTATAATTCAATTATTCGAGTGAAATCCAGACAATATTTTTAATGAGAAAGAAGAAACCCCTTACATATTAGTGAGTAAGAACTAAACACATTTTCCGTATTTAGGGGCCCATCTAAAAATTGACACTAAAAAGAAAAAAAGCCATTGTCATATTGAAACCAATACACTCTCTATAGAACAAAAGTCAGATTGAAACATCACTTGGATATTGTTTCCCCTATTATGCCAAATGCAACATATGCAATACTTTTAAGCATTTTCATGGCACGGCTTTGGTATTAATTATTGTTTGTGCAATTAATTATATGGTTTTGATCATAAGGTTGCATGTGCAGGTGTCATATAATTTGCTGATGGAATTTATCGAGGAAAATAGTTTTGAAAGTAACTTTTCAAAAATACAGGCCAACAATGTGTGTCATCGTAATATATTTTCATAATATATTTGTGTTATTAACGTACTATATAAATATATGTTCCAAGACTTGAGAATTAATATGCAATGTCATTCAATTTGGAAACTTCTGATTGGGTTGGAGACAGGTTTCGCGAGTTGCCCGGATGTGACCAAGCAAAAGCCCAGTTGTAATATACAAATAATTCTGTTACATCAAATGTTATCTTCCGATGATACTGGATTCGAAATAAATGTTTGTAGTAGCTTGTAAATTATCTTAACCTTGTAACTTATTTTCAAAAAAAAATTATTCGAAGGAAGAAATGAAATTAGTGTTTAGGGAATACTGTTCATTAATGCGGCAATGCACCTGGGACTGCCACTGTGAAAAAAGCCAAATATAGTTTGTACTATAGCAAACTATTTTTTAGAATAACCCCCATATAGTTTGAATTTCACCTAAAATATGGGCGAGAATAGTTTCTCCCATATTCCTAAAAACGGAACACTTTAATATAAGTCCTGATATACTCTCCGATACGCCCATATAAACTAAAATAAGTTGCATATATCATTGCAGAGTGTATATCTTTACTGAACTATTTTCCACTTATAAGCCTAAAAGTCGGAATCAAACCTACTATATGCGTTGAAAAACAACTTATATTAAATAAAAACAGACTATATCAAACTATACTTGACTTATTCTTCTCTTATTCTACCTCAAAACAAACTATACTCGTCTTATACGCGATATTACGTAATAGCTTCAGTTCCCGAGTTTGTTGTTTTAACAGATTAAAAGCAAAGTCCAGCATTGATGTATTTTGTTTTCAATGCTAATTAATTCGCTTGTTCAGATTAATCTGGTCATTTCTATAACTGAGGGTTCTAATTTCCATCAAAAAGTCATTTATAAATTGAGCTTTTTACTTTTACTAAATTGGACAATGACAGTCGAATTAGAATTAACACCGTGTTAAATTTTGGATTCATTTAATTAAGTCTGTGGAAAGTTACATTTTTCA